TCTGAGTTCAAGCATCTAAACGGAAAAGCTGTTCTGTAAATATAGCTTCAGTTGTGTGTCATGCCCTGAAGGTCAACAGAAAAGATTCCAGCATTAAAAAAGGTCTTGTGGACTATTATGTTGAAAACAGTAGAATATATTCTCAGCTAAGTATGTAATGTTTTACTAATCAACTCCCACGACTGCAGATGAGAATTACAAAGACTAATACTTACATGTCAGGTTGACAGTTAACATTGATATCATTCTGACCTAAAATATGAATTCATAGTGTTTAAGTACATGGTATAAGAATATAACTTTGAGACTTTCAACAAACACAGGAAAAATGGAAGGAGAAAAAAATATTGTTGTCAAGAGAATAAGGAGTTTGGCCAGGGGAGGAAAGTAAGAGAGTACTTTTGTTCCTTAGAAACCTCAATGATTTTGAGAAAAGCTTGCCTTTAAAATTTTTCCGTGAAAGAATATGTGTCATAATGAAATTATTTCACCTAATCCTTAAGGTTTTTTCTCACATCTTATTGAGAAATCATTGTGGATGTAGCTGTGCATTAGTGGCTATTTGTGTAAAATCTGTGTAACCTTCTACTGATAAGTTTAATGGTGTTTAGTCATTCAGACTGACAGAGTTTTTCTTTGTCTCTACTCGCCTCATTCCTCCCTCCCCCCAAAACAGAAAGCTGCACTTAGTTGCACATAATCTTTCTATTCAGAGATATACAAAGTGTAGGTCTTTGTTACTGTAGGTTCCCTTTTAATGAATGCCTTTTTTAAGCCATACACTTATACCAGATCAAAGAGGAATAGTTTTCTATTGCTTTTTTAGCAACGATTTCCCTATAGAAAATAAATTAGTTACTACATTTTAAAATTAAATTTTCATGCATAAGTTAATACTAAACCGCAAGTTTGTAAATTTTGATTAGTTCAATTATATTGAATTAAGTAGAATATTTTGTTCTTTTTCTATCTTGAGACCAAAAGGAAAAGCTGATGCAAGAGAACAAAGACCTGCAGTTATGCTACCTGGAACATAAGCAACAGCTAGATGAACTGAAAAATCACGTGAAGTTTTTGACCAAGGTGAACTCTATTTCTGTTTAGAATATGCGCAAAAAAATTCGTTCTGTGTTTTACACATAGTGCAAATACTTCTTGAAAGTAAAAGAATACAGAAATATAGCAATGTTTATTTATTCATGATATCAAGGAAAATGTCATGTCCAGTGAGAATGCATCTTGTTATTCTGAATGTATTTCTTCAATTTTCATTCACATCTGATAACATCTTTTCATTAAGTATTTCTGTTTCAGGAAAGTGATATTGAAGTGGCAGAACTCAGTGAAGCCCTCTTGCATATAAAGAATGAGCATATGGGGGATTGTAACTACGTGTTATTTAAGGTCCCATCCAACTCAAACCATTCTCTGATTCTATATATATTGCATTTATTCTTTTTTTTTTTTTTTTTAAACCCTTTGTTGACCATTACATTTTCTACACAATGCCTGGGATTTTCAAGGGCTGCATTATTTGTGCATCTTTTAGTGGTTAATTTTTCAAGCTCATATGTGTGCTTTTGTCATTTTTCAGTAACAGTGAAGCAGAAGGGAAGATGAAAAAATTGCCAGGATGAAACCTAGATTTATGCACAGAATTCATTATAACATCAAAAGTGAATTAATCTAGATTCACAAGCATTTTTTTTAAAAAGTACTTTTTCTCTGTTAAATTACTTATCATGCCATCTTGGTTTTCCTATAATGTTTATTAAAAACCATGTTAGTTTATTAATTCTATGATTTGTGGGAGCGTTCTATAAGCATGGAAGTTCTAAGTGTTGATACAGCAATGCTTAGTACCTTCTCTTTGTTTATTAAAACAGGAAAACAAAAATACCCAGAAAATGTTCTATTTTTTTCTCTTGAACATAAGTTGAAATTTTATTGTTTACAGCAAAATTGAAAATGAAGTGGAGGTGTGGGGATGAAAACTGTGAAAAAAAGAAGTTTGAATTAAGTTTCTACTGTTCCAGTGACTTCCATTTTATTTTCTTGAGGAAGTATTTACTATAAATAGAATCTTTTTCTTCTTCTGAAATGCAAACAATAATTCTATGACAATGAAAAAAAGAAAGGAAAAAAACCAAACCAAAACCAAAACAACTTAGATGAAAATCAAAGTCCCAGTATTAATAACAGAAGCAATGTAAACTTGAGAATAGTAATTTAGGGTTTGTACATTCACTGAAGCAGGATTATTAGTTATAAAAAAGGCAAATATATTAAGAGGTTTTTGTTTTCGTTGGATAGACAGGAGTGATTGCCTCTGAATATCTCATACATTTTAATTGGTTCCTGGTAATCATGAGATTACATTACTGAATACAATCCTGACACTGGTCTACCTCATTCCTATTTTTCGTGTTACCACGTGCTCAAAATGTACAAAATTATGCTTACTGTCTTATTGTTCCAAAATTATATCCCGGTGTTACATTTAGCTAGGAACGAGTACATCCAAATACTTTGCAAAAGTTTGTTCTAGTAATTTTTCAAACTTGCTCCAGGTTCAAAAGCAGCAGAAGAATGGGGACCTTACGTTTTTGGGAAAAGTAGAAGATGATATCCATAATGATTTAGAACACTCCATGCGGGAGCTGCAGTTAACACATGCGGAAACAGTGCAAGAACTTGAAAAGACAAGAAAAATGTTAATTGTGCAGCACAAAATTAACAAAGATTACCAGGTACTAAACTCTACTCACAGTGGGAAGTAACCTGATCATAACATTTTAACGTTTGTAGCACTGGAACTTGTCATAATTAAGGCTTACAAATTCAGCAACAAAGCCAGTCTGTTTGTAGGTAACCTAACCTAAGAATTGCTGTTGCTGAGAGTATTGTTTAAAAAGCATGAGATCCAAATGACTATGACTTTTAACTCACCCTGATCAGAGCCCTCAAACAACACATTCTTGGGGTTATCTCTGAGCTCTTATCAGGTCCTCAAAGGAAAAACAGTAAGTGTTCTTACCAAAGCAGCTTCCTTTTCCACAAGACACTGCTTTTTCTCTCGTACTGGATTATTGCAGATCATATTTTGACTTTTGATTCAATTAACATAAGTATAAAATCACAAAATCATTAAAGAAACTATTAGGAACATTGTCCTGAAAGACTAGCTAATCTGTTTTTCTTAACAGTTTTTTTAGATTTTGCTGAAATCCAAACTGATTGCTGTATTGCTGAATTTAAAAATGCTGCTATTTTTGTGTGTTCTAAATGTTTTTTCCTCAGATCTAACTATTTTAATTTGTAGGCAAAAGCATGTACAACATCAGAGCAGACAAACCTCAAAAGTCTCTTTTACATGTAAATTTTTTTCAGACTGAAGTAGAAATAGTGACACAAAAGATGGAAAATCTACAGAAAGACTATGAGTTAAAACTGGAACAGTATGTCCATCTCCTTGACATTAGAGCTGCACGCATTAGAAAACTAGAAGGTATCTTTAAAGTATATTCTTCTATAATTATTTTTTCATATTTATCTCTTGCAAATTATTGTAGTAAATTTGTTCTTCAGCTGAAACACTTTTCAGTTCCTATAACTAGTAGAAAGGACAGTTCTTTCGTGTAAAATTATGTGTTGTTTCATTGATTTAAATAATAAATTTATTTATCAAACAAAATTTAACAAAGCAGTTTATGCTGCAGCCATTACTGAATAAGAGTAAAACTACCAAACTTAGGTATTTTTAATTGTGGGTTTTTTTAAATAGATCATACATTTATGGCCAACCTTTTATTTTGCTGTCCTATCATTACATAATTATTTAATGTGTTGCTAAAAATCCCAAAGTCATGGTATAATATACCTATGGAATATTTGGATATGATGAATTTAAAATGCTATTTTAATGGCTTCAGTGTAAAAAAGGTGTATAGGAAGCCTGAAAAAAGGATACCTTACAAATCCCAATGTCATAACAATTTTTTTGGTTTTGTCTTCAAGTTGCATCCCCTGCACAAAAGGACTGCATGATGATTTATGTCCTAATTCTGTAAGCGTGTATATTGATTTGCTCACTGTTTACCACCTGTGAGACCGGGCAACATGTAAAGGTCTTTGCTGATAGTTCTGTCCCCTCAAGATACTACAGAGGTTAAAAGTCAGATGTATTCTTTCTTTCCTTGGCAAATTTAGTTCAACCACCCAAAAATTCATATCTTAAATCTCTGCTACATTTGCATAGTGATACTTATTTTGATCATTGTATAATACTTCTGAATTTTTGCTTGTTAACTCCCTTGTAATCTATTATTAATTGTTAGGGGCCTGTGTATTGTTATGTATGCTGAAGCAGCTCCATTGTGGAGGTATTCTAGATTGTTGTCCCTGTGCTAAATGAACAATAGATATATCATTTTAAATGTGTGATTTCTTTTTTGGCAATGCATTAAAGAAAGTAACATTGTTAATATAATTGAATTATGTTTTTTTTCCTTCTACTCAGACATTAATTATATTTGATTTTTAAACAAGACAGTCATGTTGTAGCTCTGTTTTGTTTTATTTGTTGCAGCTCAACTAAAAGATATGGTCTATGGTACAAAACCACATAAATCCAAACCAGAAATACTACCAAGTGATCAAGTGGATGAATTTGATGAAACTTTACATTTAGAAAAAGGAGAGAACCTTTTTGAAATTCATATCAGCAAAGTGATCTTCTCCTCTGGAGCTATTCATGCTTTTGGTGACAATGAACCTGCAACTTTTTGTACTTATGCATTCTATGACTTTGAACTTCAAGCAACCCCAGTAGTTTATGGGCATACCCCATCATATGACTTCACTTCTAAGTATCTTGTGCAGGCCGATGACTGCTTCTTGGACTATATACAGCGAAACAGTATCACACTTGAGGTTCATCGTGCATATGGCATAGATTATGAAACAGTTGCTGCCTGTGAAATGAAGTTCCATGAAATCTTCGAAAACAATGGGAAGATCTTCCGCACAGCAAATTTAGTTGGTAATTAACATATCAAAAAGTATTATGTTTGATGCAGTTTTGTAAGTCACAATTAAACAATGTGTATTTGGCCAACAATGACTTGGTGTATTACTACTTCAAAAGAAAAAAAAGATTTATGCAACATGATGTTTCCTGTTGGATGTGCAGCATGTTCTGGTGATTCTGCAACAGTTGTGGGAAAGCTCCCACAGGTGCAATTTTGCCCATAATGGCTGAGGACAAAGATGGTGTCAATACAGTTATCCTGAAGTATGTGACATGGTGGAAATGGCATTAGAGAATCTAGTCTGAAAATAGCAAGTGATTCTTTCTTGTGTATAAAGGTTACTGGCAAAGCGTTACTATTACACATGTAAAGGTAGTATCACCTTACTCAACAGAATTATACAGCATGGACAAAAGTAGTTAGTAGAGCAGTGTACTTGATTGCGTTGTAGTACTATTCATATGTTGGAAGTTCTTTATGAATACTGATATTTTAAAGATATTTTAAGATATATTAAACCGATACTGATATTCTTTTTTCATTTTGCTTTATTATTTTGTATATTATCAATTGTGGTTTAGTTGTTTGATGCAAGTTTCTTTCATCCCCCAAGACTTTTATAGATACAAAGGGGCCCTACTTACTTCAACTGTGAAACATGCAGTAATTTCAGTGAAGTCTTGTAATATATTTAAATGAGATTAAATTACTTTTGCATATATAATTTCTCTGTTTGGCAGAATATACATTAAAAGGGAAAAATTTCTGCATTATAAGATTATCAAACATCAGTGCTTTATATCTGTCCCAAATGTCATAAATATGTCTCCTTATTCCTTATCAATAAATAAAGGGATAAGTGGTTACAGTGGTTGTAATTTAAACTGGTAAGTCAGAGGTCTTCATATAATAGTCGTAAGGTATCAAAAAGGTGCAAATGATGGTGATTACAGTTAATAATATTTCATAGCATAATCTATGGGGGAGTTGGTTTAGATTTTGTGCATTTTTTTCCTTTTAATTTAATTCATTATTTTAAGATAATTTTAAGATACCCTGGACAATCCTTTTTAAAGAAGTACTTAGTATTCTGTGCTGCTTTACTTTTTCTTTTAGAAGTATTTTGTCTGATCAGTATATTCAGAGATCTTTAACGGCTCACTTTTGTCAAAAATCTGGTTTAATAAGCCATTATAAAGTGTTATTTTTGCCAGTAATTTGAACTACATAGCACTTTATGGTACGTTTCCAACTGTTGACATACAAAACTGTCCTAAGCTTTATTTGCCTTAAAGAGATTAAAATGATGAACTTGACTTGACTGTATAGCTTGGACAGTAAATATTGCCGATTACAACGTGAAAAAATGGTCATGTTTCAGTTTTGGATGATACATGTAGAGCCAGAGGAGTTGTTTCTGTTTCTAACATGAACTGCACATCTCATGTCACAAACACTGTCATAATGCATAGTCACAAGATAACTAATCCTTATTTTCTGGAATTCCCTAGCTTTTGACTTAAGCACTTCAATGTTGAAAATAAAATTTAATTCAGTCATATTTGTATTTATTCCTTAGGAATCAAAGGAAACATTCAAAATTATGGTACCATAGAATACTGGATCAGGTTACGAGTTCCTATGGATCAAGCTATTAGACTCTACAAAGAGAGGTCAAAGGCTCTGGGGTATACAACATCCGATTTTAGGGAACGTGAACAACCATCCCAGGTATGTTTGGGTTTGTACTTCATAGTTTTGATAGAATAAACTGTTCAAAATTACTTTTTCAGTTCAAATAGTTTACTTCACGTCTTGCTATGTTCAAGGTTAACGAAGTTAAAGGTTCTGGAACTGGAAAATATCTTTAGCAGTTGAATGACATATTTTTTCTTTTAAAGAGGTAAAGAACCATATGAATGATAGCTTTCCTGAAGAGGTGAAGGCTTAAACTTCAGTTATTTACTTTCACTGAAATTATCACTAGAATATTTGAAATTATTGTATGTAATCTTCTTAACCTGTAAGTGCCAGATTTTGTTAACATTTTGTTCTGGTATTCACGAATGTTAAACCAACTGGGTGTCAGATCAGTACAACTGGTGAAGCAATTGTTCAAAATGGTCTCGAAGTTCTTAATGTTTGAGTATTGTGAGATTGAGATTATTTCATATTTTGGGGTATTTTTGGTTTTGTTTTTTTTTCTGGATACAGAAGAGAATTTTGATAATATAATGCACTGTATAATCACATTTAAATAAGGATCACAGAAAAAGAATGGACATTCAGACATCTTTAACAATTGTTTAAGAAACAAAACCAATCAGGTTGAAATGTATAAATTGCAACACTTTAGAGTTTCTAACAGGCAATTTTTTTTACCTATAGCTGTTTAAATTACTGTAAGTCTGGAGTAACTTCTAGTGTTTTAGATAATTCTGTAATGTAAATTTGTATTATACTAGAACTTCAATGGATTCTATGATGTAATCTGACAAGTATGTTTAGTGTATGAATTCTATTAAAGGTCAGCGTAGGCATTTTCAGAACTTTCTGTCTGATAACATAGTAACGTTAGCTTTAAATATGATTTTTTAAAGAATCAAAGGTATTTTTAACTCACCCATAATATCTGTTATTTAGTTTTCTCTATTTTTTTATTATTGCCAATCCAAACACAGTTGAAAGGAAATGTGGAACAGAGCATTTTGTTGTAATTATTGTAAAATTGAAAATTGAAGCATGGCAACTGAAATATACAGATTATACGGGAGAAAATAAAATAGGAAAAATGACAGAAATGAAGAACAGCTTCTACAGAGCTGTTTGAAACACCACAGTTTTCAGAAGCGATACATGGCAGAAACTAAAAGTCATATAGCATAGCAGATAGTTACATTATGTTAAAGGTTCTGTCACTCTGCAACTGCTGCAAAAGTAGCTTCAGTTGTGCATTCCAAAATTTAAGCTTTCACTAGTTAAACATACTTATAAAATGTTCTGTGCTGTATAGCGGCAGAAATTGTGGAAACATGAATTGTACATAAACTACTATAAATTTTTTTTCCAGTTCTTTATGTAGGCAGAAATAGTAGTCTTAAAGTTTCGTATTAAGGACTTAAACTGGCATGTTTGGTTTTTCTTATTAACTGTTTAAGTGAGGATTATTTAATCAAAATATTTAACATTTTATCGTACATACCAAATTGACACATATTTCCAGAAGACAGAACTCTGGCTTCCACAAGCAAGATAATTATGTTCAATTAATGAAAATAGCTGTGACACATTCCAGTAAAAAAGGAGAGCTTTTTGAGATCAGTATAGATGGAGATTACTCATTTAAGATAGTCATGTTATTTGTTTTCTTCTTGTTCTTTAATTTTTATTAAAATGGATTTCCCAGTTTGCCAGCTATGGGTTCCACAGTATGTACAAGCCATGCTGATAGGTAATTCAAAAAATTTGTGATATCATTGATTTTTTTAATTTACTTCAAACATTCATTGTTGCTCTTCACATGCTGATCTCTAATTTTTGCAAATTTTTTATGTAAGTAAAGGTTTTGGAGGAAGAAACAGAGGAATCTACAGTGCAAATTTAATTATTGAAAAGTACATATATAAAAGGGACTACAGTTTTAAAAAAATTTTTAACACAGGTTAGCTGTCAAGTCAGAACCCTTAACTTTAAAGTGGCACTAGATATGAATCTTAAAACTGTGATCTTCACTGCTTTCTAGATAATCGAATGACAAGTTGATCAGAAAAATTTAGAAGAATAAAGCAAACAATCACACATCTGAAAGGATTAACCTCTTCTTTCCTTATACCAACAACCGAAGAGATGCTGTTGAATTTATAGAACAAGTAATATTTTGACATATAAAATAAAACAGTAGTTGGAGTGTCATTGACATAATCAGTTATTTGTTCTATTTATATAGTTCATAGAGTTCACCAACATAACAATTCTAATGTTTTTAATTTAACTTCTTTTTCATTTAAAGCAGCAGATACTCAGAACTGCCCAAGTCAGCACTTCAACAGATGGCAATTTAAATGAACTCCACATTACAATAAAATGTTGTAACAATCTACAATCCCAAAAAAATCATCTTCAGCCAAATTCTTATGTTGTCTACAAGTTCTTTGATTTTGCAGAACATGATACTCCCATCATTCCTAGCAGCAACGACCCACAAATACATGACCATATGTGTTTCCAAGTGCTAATGAATGCAGATTTAGACCAATACCTAAAATCAGAATCCTTAACTTTTTATGTATTTGATGATGGTGAAACGGAAGAAGCTGCTTATATAGGGAAAGCCAATGTGCCTCTTGCTTCTTTAGCACATGACAGATCTATCTCAGGTAAGAATTAGACCTCTTCAAACTTAACAAAATGTTCAGTTCCTATATCGTGTGTCTTTAAATCTCTTTAAGAACCAAACTAAAGAAAGGCTTTTCACTCTTCAGGGGGATCTGGACAGGCTGGACCGATGGGCCAAGGTCAATTATATGAGGTTCAACAAGGCTCAGTACTGGGTCCTGCGCTTTGGTCACAACAACCCCATGTAACGTTACAGGCTTGGGGAAGAGTGGCTGGAAAGCTGCCTGGTGGAAAAGGACCTGGGGGTGTTGGTTGACAGCCATCTGGACATGAGCCAGCCCTGTGCCCAGGTGGCCAAGAAGGCCAATGGCATCCTGGACCGTATCAGAAATAGTGTGGCCACCAGGACTAAGGAAGTGATCATCCCCCACTACTTGGTGCTGGTGAGGCTAATGTTCAGTTTTGGGCCCCTCACTACAAGAAAGACACTGAGGTGCTGGAGCGTGTCCAGAGAAGGGCAACGAAGGTGGTGAAGGGTCTGGAGAACAAGTGCTGTGAGGAGCAGCTGAGGGAACTGGGGTTGTTTAGTCTGGAGAAGAGGAGGCTGAGGGAAGACCTTATCGCTCTCTACAGCTACCTGAAAGGAGGCTGTAGTGAGGTGGGGGTCAGTCTCTTTTTCCCACGTAACAAGTGATGGGACAAGAGGAAATGGCCTCAAGTTGCACCAGGGAGCTTTAGGTTTGATATTAGAAAAAAATTTCTTCACCAAAAGGGTTGTCAAGCATTGGAGCAGGCTGCCCAGGGGAGTGGTTGAGTCACCATCCCTGGAGGTATTTAAAAGATGTGTAGATGTGGCACTCAGGGACATGGTTTAGTGGTGGACTTGGCAGTGCTAGGGTAATGGTTGGACTGTGGTGTTAAAGGTCTTTTCCAACCTAACTGATCCTGTGACCCTAAAACCCCATGTCATTCATCTACTTTTCTTGTCTGACAGAATTTTAAACTCCAGTGAAATCCTGGAAAGAAATTTTTCATCTCAGTGTTACTGAAGTCATGGCTACTGAAAAGTCTGTGTCAGAGCTTTGAAACTGATAGTTGGTTGTTTAATATAAGCGTTAAACTTGAAACATTAGAGAAAGAAAAGACCAAGGGAGAGAAAAAGTTTCTAATATCTCTTTTATTTACGATGATGGTACTAACGGAATGTTCCATCGTTGTTGCGTTTCAACGTGAGTTTTAAAGTGGTGTTTGTTTTTGTGATTGTCCGTCAATTGCAATAAAGCTGAACAGGATGCCTGAACCTTACAGGGTGGATTGCAACAGTAGGATTTTTTTCCCCCATGACATTTTTGAGATTTAAGAGAAAGAAGCAAATATTTTCTTTAAATGCCACAAGTCAAAAAAAAAAAAAAATTAAATCAAAGGAACCTGGTGTCCAAACATTCATTTATCACGATCCTATCACGGGTGAAAAGTCTTTTAAATGCTTTTTTGTTCTCTATACTGGCCCAGGTATGGAATAATTATGATTTGGTAAATAATTGTCGTTGGAATGGTGTGTCACCCTAGCGCTGACTAAATTTAATTGCTAATCAGTTATTAATGTTTTCTTTTTTGTTAGCATTTTAGTAATCTGTTTTCATCTGTCTTTTACCACTGTTTTTTGCTTGAGAAGCCTACCAAATTTATCAGTTACATTTCTTACACTAATATATTATGAGTATCTCTCATTATTAGGTAGAAAGACCCTGTTAATCTTAACATCAGGTGTGACAGGGTAACTGAAACCTGACATTTTAAAATGTGCTGCTTTCATAACTGACAAGAGATCTGTGAAACAACAATAGTAGGTGTCTTGAAATAACTCTTGGAAAAAAAAACCCCGTCAAGTGTTTCTCTCTGGTTTCAAAAGTAACCTGGAAGTGTTTGGTATCTTCTTTTACTGATCCTTTTTTACATTCTAATGATAAAAAATGTCTCCTGGCATATACATACTTTCTCCCACCTCTTTTTCTTCTGGTGTTGCTGCTGCTTCTATTTTTCAGGACTGATATGCTAATTTAAAACACAGTTTCTTTCTCTGTGTGGCTTCCTTTTATTTTTTTTTTCCTCATTATTTTCCTTTTCTAGTTTTGGCTAATGTACACTTAAATTAGAAAATTGACATGATAAATCAGCCTCTTTGGGGGGAAAAAAACAGGTCAAGAGCTACACTTGGAATCATAGAATAATTGTCAACTGGAGCTCCTGATATGTCCTAGTCCAGCCTCCTGACCCAGGTAGAGCAAGTTGTTCAGGACTTTGCGAAGTTAAATGTTTAATATCTCAAAGGACAGAGATCTAGTACCTGTCTGGTCAACCTATTCCGATGTTTGATAACCCTCATAATAAAAACTTTTTCCTTACAAAGCTGGGATTTTGCGTGTTCCAACTTGTGTCTGTTGGCTCTCCTCCTTCTGCTATGCACCTCTGGTTCTGTCTTTTCCACAGCCCCCTATTAGGGGGCAGTAAGATCCCCTCTGAGCCTCCTGTTCTGAAGGCTGAACAAATCACTTCTTTCAGCCTCTTCTGTGTCATGTGCTCCAATGCCCTGAAGCTCTTTGTAGACCTCCACTGGACCTGCTCCAGAATGCCAGTAGTGTCTTACTTGTGCTGGAGAGAGGCCAAAACTGGACACAGTATTCCAGATGCCATCTCATAGGTGTTGAATGGAGAAAGTATGAAATTTCCCTGGACCTGCTTGGCTGCGTTCTTGCTCATACAGGCCAGGATGCAGTTTGCATTCTTTGCTGCAAAGACATAGCTTGGCTGGCTTATGTTATTCTTGTCAAACAAGACGTGCTCTTTTTCTGCAAGGCTGCTTGTGGCCAGTCAACCCTCAGCCTGTATTACTACTTGGGGCTATTCCTGGGCTGATGCAGAACTTTGCATTTGCTTTTGTTGAACTTCATGAGGTTTCCATCAGCCCATTTTTCTACTCTGTGTGAACAGAAGCCCTGCCTTCAGTGCATCAACTGCTCCCTGCAAGTTGATATCAGTTACAAATTTGCTATGGTATTTATAATATAAAAGCTGCTTAATGATTATTTCATTGTCAAGTATAAGACATTAAAGTAAATTTAAAAATATGATTCTATAATTATCCCATATAAATGGATAATAGAAAATTTGCAAGTGAATTTAGGGTGTTTCCTCTTCAATAATGACCTAGCAACTTGCAGATTTTTAAAACTCTTTATATTTTTATATAGTTAGTAAATAATTTTATAAATATTTTATTTTTATATTTATTTATTGTTTCTATAATAATTATAATTAATAAAATAATTAAAATTTATAAAAGTATTTTATAAAGTTAGTGTTAGTAAAACATGGAAATGTTTTAGTTGGATCTTTTGAAAAATGTCAATAAGCATTAGTTCCCTGGTATTGGATTATCTGAGAAACCTACAGGACATTTTGAATGAACACAGTAATCCAGTCCCTTGTAAATCCTGTACTTTTGAATGTCCATAGTATTAGATTGGATATATTTGGATCTACAAAACACAGTATTTTGACACTATTTACTTCTAAAATGAAGACTATTAAGTTACTTAATCCCATTCAGTTTTGCACTGCATTTTCTTGTATATGTGTAGAATAAGATAATTTAGACAAGATTTGCGTTTTGCTTTCAGGTACTTTTGAACTAACAAATTCTGAAAGACGTGCTACTGGTACCATCACAGCTGAATTAAAATGGAAATGTGTCTACCTACCACCGAGTGGATCAACAATGGCTGCAGACTTAGTGAATTACATTCAAAATGAGAAATCAATGGCAACTAAATTACTAGTAGAAGAAAAAACACAGACTCCAGCCCTGTCTCCTTCTTTTGCTTCATCAGTGACAGTAAGTAGTTTAACAAACTCACAGAAGTTAAGAGATATAAAAGACCTCTTACAGCAGGTTATTTAGTTCTTCCCTGAGGACCAGGATTTGTCCTTACTGTAAAATAATGCATAGTACAAATAGTTCATACAACCACCATCTTCAACTTCCTTTGGTGGGTAACTGGTTAGTAAAAGGGCAGGGAGAAAAGGGAGGACAGATAACAAGCATTAAATGTCTTCCTGATAAATTTAGTGCTTATTAATTCACTTTCCAATGTAAATGTCCTACATAAAAGTAGTCACATGCTTGTGCAACTTCAGGGCTACGGTTGAAAATTAATTCAGTCATGAAATCAGCTATTCTTTCTGCGGTCTCTTAGAAACTCAGAACTCTGTCGCTTGGGGTAGCTTTGAGTCAAAAGAATTCTCAAGAAGCCAGACCCAAGCCATATGTACAGATATGTAGGTGTTTCTGCACCACAGTCTTTGTTATTCTGGTGCCTGTAGCATGGTGACAAGATACCAAATAGCTTCTTAAAAATCACTGGTAAATTAAAAGTAGTGTAAGTATCTTTTTTTTTTTTTTTTGTATAAAGGTCAGTGGAAATGGAGGATAATTTCTACTTTCATCAAGAGAGTAAATCATGAAGAGTAATAAACCACTGTTTCTTTATTATGTTTTGTCTTTTGTATTATAACACAGTGACAGGAGTACTTCTGGATCACTTTATTAATTTTGCAACTATTGCAAGTCTCTTTTCTGTTTCTGTGTTAAAATTCTCCAAAGGGAGTGGGATGAGGAAAGGTCTCAAAGATACAGTAAGCCTACAGAACAAGAAAAGAAATCAAGCACTCCATAAATGGTAACAATAAATCATTCTACCACATATATGATGCCACTGACTTCAGTCCTACAATTATTTCTCACCTGGAACTCACATTGCATTCCACAGATGTTCTGTAGAGTTTTATACACATTTGTGTCTGAATTCTGAAAGGTATCTCCATTTGGAGGTGTTGCTTAGGCAAACAACATATACATCATCTTGCCTGTTTAGAATTGAATTTAGTGCAGTTAGATTTGGCTTTAAGAAAAATTAGGGTCCCTCAAGATTTACTGTAAAATAAGATGGTTAGAATATGGCAGTAAATTGTCTTCCACTATATTTATTTTATTACAGAAACCAACGCCCAAACCAAGGCAGCGTGCAGCTCAGACAGACAAGAAAATGCATTTTCAGAATATTAGTACAATACAGATGAAAGTAAGTTTTAAGTATTTTGCTCATTCATGTTGAAGCAAGAAAGGCTACTTATTTCTCAGTATGGACAATTTGTAGAACTAGTAATTGAGAACACTCAGTTATTCTGGCAGCACAAGACTGGGATGTCCCAGGCAATGGGTGATAGCATAGTACTGCATGTAGGCAGGGGATACAGTACAGGGATATTTGTGTGACTGCCTCAGAATTGCTTGCTCTCCTTCACAGTTCACAAGCTTCAGCTTTCATAGACAGGCTAGATTCTAACAGGACCAATCAACTGTCTCTGCACTGTGTTTCTCAGCTCTCTGGGTTATCAACTAAAGTGTCTTTGAACAGTGTAGCCCTTGCACAGACATATAAATGGCTCTGCAGAAACCAGCTTGATCCAAACAGATCCTGGGTGTTGTGCTAATGAGATGTGCAATTTGACACAGTTCAGAGTCACCCCTTAAACGAGGTTTATCAGCTGAGATTACATATGCTGTGAAAACAATTACACTTCTGAACTTGGGATGCACTGTAACATGTACATTCTTCCAGACTCCAGGAGGGTGTGCATGGAACTAACTCCAACATATCTGCTGTGTGGTGTAAATTTTCATTTGATCTTAAATAATCTGCCTTCAGACAACTAAGAATAGGCTGTGTTTACTCTTTTAATTAAATCCAGTGAGGTAAGGTAGGTTCTTTAACAGGTAACTATAAAAGGTTATGAGTATTATTAGTAGTTAAGAATATTATGTAGCATTAATTAAAAAACAGCTGTGATCATTTTTTTTTCCATTTGTAGACTTGATTTGATTTATTTTTTGAAATGTTAACATCAGTTTTCGATTCACAGGTGGTTCTGCTATTGTTTGGTTTGCCATGACTAGACCTTTCTTTTGAGCCATACGGTATAGACTGGAAATAAGAATTAAGTTGATCTCTTGTATTTATTAACTTTAAAAAAAAAAAAAAAAGTCAAATGTTGGTGAAATCAAATCTTTTTGAGAACTTAGATGTGGAAAAATGAAATGTTAGCCATATAGTTACACAGACAACATATCTTCAGCTATCCAAACAGTAACTTCTCAAAGTTCGACAATTTTTCACAAACTAGGATTTTCTAAGGGAGACAGCTCTTGGTCTCCATCAGAAGTCTTTATTACTGGGTGGGCAGCTCCCCTAGCCATTTTAAAAATCCAAACCTCACTGTCTGGTTACAGACAAAAGTACTGTTAGAACTAAATAATGAAATAGCTGGGTCTTCTCTGATGTCTAAATCTTGTGGTGAAATGGCAAGAGAGTGTCCGTGCATAAGATTTAGAAGTTCAGCAGATTGGAACTGTACAGGAACAGTCTGTTTAATTTTCCTGTTCATCTTCTGAATAGCAGAGAATCTAGTTCTTGGATATTAATGAGACACATGCCAAAGCAATTAGTTGTTTTCAGTGAAGGAGACTCACTAAAAAGTGGGATGAATCATTGTGACTCACCCAAACCATTTGTAAGAATTGTCCAGCTTCATAGATAGAAGGTATAGCAGAGGAGAGAAGCAGTAATGCTAATGCAGGGAAGCAAAGGAGGGCGTAATTTCCTGTCCAAATGCTTCTCCACAAGTAAATTTCTACCTATTTTTGTGTGTTAATTGTCTACTGTGTATTAAAGGGTTGCCCTTATTTTACCCGTAACTTAGGACTCTGTTGTTGAAAATAACATGGAACTTGCACAGAAGACGAAGGCTTCAAGAGATCCACATGTTTCAGAGGTATGAGATTGTTCAGGTTTTGCATTTTTGTATGATATATTGCATTTGAATTCCATGTGTATGTTATTTCTTCAGAGTCATGCATCAAAAATCAAACTACAATGAAGTAAGATCTCAAAAACTTCTCTGAAATAAGAAAAAAAACCTTATTCCTTGTGATGACAACCTTCTTTTTTTGGCCATTAGAAAGAGAGGAATAGTTCTAGTTATTTCCTTCTATGTTTGGATAAAGTTTGTCTTCCCTCTAAAAATTAGCGTTATATAGTGGGGGGAAATGAAGAAGAAATTGAGTACTTTGGAATATTGTTAAACGTGTAGCATTCCAAGGAGAAGCAAGGTATTAAACGTTATAATTTGTAATGGTCTAATTAATTGTGAAAGTGAGTTGTGGCAGATTGGCAAACTGTAGTTCCTAGTGGTGTAACATTTAATCACTGGTTCTTATCTTCCTTTCACTTTTCTCCTTTAAAGTTCATCTGGAGCTTTGATTGAGAAATTAAGTCTCCCTTCCACCACATCAGGTGGTATTGGTCAAGTAGAATAATCAAAAAGTATTCTCTCTCTGAAAATTTTATCCACAAAATGCAACTCTGTCACTGAAGGAATTAGAAAGAATGGCCAAATATTGTCTAAAACACGGTGGTTATGACACATCATCTATGCCAAGGAGGAGTGTGAGAGACATAAAGTCAGTTTTCTATGACTCGAAAACTTTAAGGACAAGCTTTATAAAATAAGGCTTTTAAGCATTTGTTAACATCGCTTTGCTTTGTATGGCTCCAAATGTATTAGTATAGAAATAGCTCTTCATCCGTTTTTGGAAAACCCAGTGTTCTGTGGACAGCTGAAGTTATCTCATGGGTTCTGAGGGTGGGAGGTGAGGCATCAGTGTCTCCATGGAAAATTCAGTTCTAGAAGAGAATTGTTGAGTAATAAATAATGCATAGATCTCCAGCAAATTTCCATGAAAGTCTGTAATGTTATATTTACATCAATGAGGTATTATTCTATGTAATTGTACTCCAAGAGAAAGAAGAGAATATTATTTCAGAGTAAGTTAGGCATTAGAGATATTTTACCTTAGATAACACATTTGTATTTTGTAGCAAAGCCAATTCTTTTTTTTATGTGATTTTAGTTTGCTTTTGAAATAGAAAATATTGTATAATTGAAGTTATAAAATTGCCGACTGAGTAAGGTGGTGGTGGTTTGGTTGTTTTTTTAATCTGAGTCTTGTAGAACTGAAAGAGCTGAAATATAAATGAATCTGGAAATCTAACAGGCTGTATATATGTTGACAGCTACCAAATTATTATAATAGTTATGTTTTCACAAATATACATCATTAGAGAATTGTATTCCTACTGTATCAATTATTTGTTACTGCAGTTGACAACTTCTCATTGTTTCCTGCACTGCATAAGGAATGTAATTGTTTAAAGGTTATGTATAATGAATGTGAGCCTTAACTTCAAGTTTTGAACTTTAGTAACTTTTAGTGTTCAAGGACTGTTATAAGACTGTAAGTATCTATTTTTATATAGCATGTCGTACATGAGCTTAAACAAGAAAGGCTAGCGGATGATAAGGTGAAGGAGATGGCTGAAGAAATTCGACAGGAAAAAGAAGAACTCTTAGATGTGTTAAAGGGCCAGTTGGCTGACCAAAGGTCAGTAACCTCTGGAGATGAGACACTGATAACTGAAGAATTGAAACCAGAAGGTAGAATTCATTTTTATGAATAAGTAACTGTATTTTCTTAATAAATCTATGTCTCTTTCTGTTTTCTTAAGCATTTCTTACTAGCAGTGGGAGCTGCCTCGTTATGAGAAGCTTCATGACAGAAATTATATTCTGGTGTACTTTATAGCTGAAGCTGGGTGGTGGATATGGTGGTGTTATTTTCTTCCCAAATGGAAACTGTATTGTAATTGAGTGCAAAAATCTAGTATCTGACCTCGATTCATAAAATATTGAGGGAAACCTGGTTTCTATTTTAAATGTCTTTATATTCTCCCTTAGAACTATGCTATTCTAAAGACCATTTTAATGAATGTGCTCCTTTTGTCTGCAGATAACACCAATGCTGATATCGGAAATCCTTTCAGACAGTGAGAGGGGTAGTATGTCTTACCACAGCTGCAACATAAAGTTGTTAGAGGCAGATTTATTTAAAGATTATAGAAGCTGGGTCATCCTGTTCCACCTCCGAGCTTAAAATGTTTATCATTGAAATAAACCAAGTCCACAATACCAAGTTTCAAGTAAAAGCACAAGCAGAATGCTAAAATTTTATGTCCAGTTGTTTGCAGCTTCTGCATAAGAATTCATTAGAAAAATTGAGAAATGTGCTTTTGAATCCCTGTTCTGTTTTTAAGTAATTTGCTCTGGAAAAGACAGACCTGAATGCTGTAGAAAATAATCCACCTACATACAGTACTACTTTCTTTTTTTTTTAAAAAAAAAAAAAAAGTACATTCTTCTTTATATGTGCATGGTGTTCAACATAGTCAGAGGAAATCCACAAATTTAGGACATATTCTTATATAAAGCTAACTGTTGTTCATACTTCAGTTCATCACAGGACTTATTCTACTCATCAACTTTCATCTGGGAAACATTACTATTTTTGTAGGAAATCAGAAAAAAATATGGTTTAGATTACTTTAAAGGTCATTGATTTGCCAGTGTTCATCTTCTGCAAGGAAGAGAAAATTTACCTCGCACTTATATTTTATTTATTAGGAAAGCGAATATGTTGCTATCAGGTTTCACAGTAAGTCTCCTCAGATGGACTACAGATATAGGGGGTTTTAACTACATTGATTTTATAAAATATTTGTTTTGCAGATCAAGATGATAGACAAGAAAATGAAGCCATTGAATCAATTGTAACTGACAGCGATGACTGTATTGTTTCAAGTCCAGTATCTAAAAAGATTAAATGGGTGAGTCAAGAGTATGTATGGCAATTATTTGGCAAGTCTAAGAAAAGTATTTTAAGCCTAATGTCTCCTAGGAGTTGCTTTTCTATATCTAAGCTCAGATTCTAAGGCATTTTCAACACATGTATGTTTTCCTGTTTCCAGTTCAAATAGGCACCTTTTCACAGAATAAAAGAAAAGTTAACCTGACTGATTTGTGCATGTGATTTATAGGTGGTTTTTCAATGGGGAAATTTGTTGTCATCTTTTCTGATATTGTCATACACACTTAGAAGTAGACATTTCTAATTTGTTTCAATCTGAATTCAATTTTTAGTCCTGCACAAAATCTCCCTAACGGAAGATGACTGTTGTAGTGTGAATGTCTGAAGAACTTAGTCTTGTTGTTCAGTCCTATCTGTGCCTTTACATGGGTAAAATGTGCTTTTCTGCTTCTTCCAATGCTTTCTGAGGAAGGGGAAGATAATTTCACTTGTCAAGGCCTGTAGTAAATCTGCAATGCTTAGCTACCTACTGTTTTTCATCCCAGTATGTTGACTTGATTGAATGTTGTTGAAATGGCAATTGCATGAATTTGAGGTGGTTAATAACATGCAAACCTTGCGTACATTTTCTAGGTCATCCACAAAGATTTCTTTTTGTTCCTGACTTCCCAGCATTTTTTTTAGAACTGAACATCAGTTTTCAATACAATTTGTACATGTACACTATCCAATCACTTCAGTGTATTTCTTTTTCTATTAATATCTGTGGGCATGTACAGTGATGATATTCTCTTGACTTGTTCTTAAAACCAGCAATTAATAAGCATAAAGTTGTATATACAAAATAACACAGGATTATACAAATTTGGAAAATTTACTTTGAACAGAATTTCAATAGTATAGTTTTCTAAAAAAAAAAAAATTCATACTTTTAGATCTAATGTTGACTGAACAGTCTTAAAACCCATAAAACTAGCACTTAAAATTGCATATAATCTTTCTAAAAGTTAATACTTCTTTAGTCTGTCTTAGCCTTCTTTTAAAGGACCAGAGTGTACTTTTGTATTGTATCAGTTCTAGCTTTTTTTTAATGTTCTTCAATATGATAACCTAGAGGTAGTTTTATGATTTTTTAAAAATTTTTTTTTATCCATTCTTCAAGGCTCTGTGATGTCTTAAAGTAACTAGAAACAGGAAGCAATGCTTTGTATAAGAAATATTGTTCCTTTTTTTTTAAGTTGTAGCAGGGATTTAGAAATGCTATCACTTACATGAGCTGCAGAAAGATACAGAAGGTACTTTTGAGGACAGAACTGCATTGTTTATATGTGAAATGTTAAAAAAATGTTTCACTTGTAATTTTGAGAACTAAAATGACTGCTACTCATTACCGTTAAGTCAAACTGTAATACAGTTGATCTATACATTTCTAGTCACCCTGTATTTTATTCTATCAAAATAGTTTAAGAACACTTCTGAGACGATTTAGTGTAGATTCATTTCAGCTTCATTAATTTCTACCTTTCTTCATTGATCTGTTCCTCTGGTAACAAAGTGTATGTTCAAGAAGGATAGATAAGACAAAAATAAGCTGTAAGCTATTAAGGCAACACGTTTGATACAAATTAGATTTTAAAAATAGGCATTGGTATATTTGAAATCTTGGGTTAATTATAGAATACAACATGCGAAAATTGTGGTTGAATTTGTATTTTTTTTAAGATTAAAAAATCCCTGCCTTTTATGTTTTGGGGTAAATATCCTGCTGGTAATCAAACACTGTAAATAAGACTTGTGATTTTTAGAGATCGTTATGCTAATTATCCTGTAAATCTGAGTTGTATGCCAAACTGTTTAAGCCATTTACGATCAGACTGTTTCTTTTTTGCATGTTGCAAATTAGACAGTTCATGGTTATTTCTTAGATATGTTGATCATAAGGGGTATCTAACAGATTTTCCAGTACTTAGCAGTACCACTTGCTTCTTTCTCTTTTTTTCTTGTCTATGATGTATAATTAATCATAGATTACTTCATTTTGTTTCATTTCATTTACAACATTTATGAGCTTCACTTTGTCGATATGAAATGCTTGTCCCCTTCTTTCCTTTCCAAAGTGGTGTAATTAGTGTTAGCATCTTTTTTAACAGGCTACATAAAGTTTAGTGGCTGGATTAAATCAAGTCATTAACATAATGTGCTATACAATTTGCCCCTATCTCTTTTCGTTTTCAGTACATCAAAGTGCCACAGAGTGCCAGTGTAATTGGGCCTTGCTAGCTTGTCAGGTTCAGTCAGGCTGATGGTTGCTGCTTTTACTAAAAAGCTTCCAGGCATGATAATTAATAGAGAAAAGAAGTCTGAGAAATGTAAAAGTTTGGACAGTTCTCTATGAATATTTCATACATTTGAATAATCAGAAGTTAACATTATCAATTTGATGTATAATACATTGATTAAAAGCCTTGTTTCAGATCCTCAAAATAGACATCAAAACTGGGAATTTGCATTTTCCTTGGCATGGTCTTTATATTTAAAAAAAAAAAATTAAAAAAAAACCCCAAAGAATCTTTTCTCTTCCACCCCCTCCTCCCTTTCACCCCCATGTCTACACTTTATCCTTACAGGAGATAATATAGTATTCAACTATCACAATAAAATTTACTGCTGTCAGCTTCCAGGTTGTCTTAAAATGTACCCATAAGGCAATTACTGGCAAAACCCAATTTATTAGGTGGTCGTTCTGGTTTTTTTCTGTAGGTGTGTTTACATCTCTCTTTTTTGTTGCAGATACTGTGAGTGCGTGATATTGCATATTTTCAGTTTATTGATAACTGTCATTATCAGTTCCTGTAAATTAGGATCTCAGGATTTAATTAATTTTGATATGAAAATCTCTCTTATCTTAAACACCTTTGAAAAGCAATACCAATTGCCTGTGGTTCTTCTGATCAATGAAACATGTTTGGGCAAAAGTTGGAAGATGTAAAGCATAAAGCTTATGTATAGCAAAACAATACATATTTTTCCTTTTATTATGCCTTTTTTTTTTTGTACAATTACTTGAAATAATGAATTTCCTCCTATGAGATATCTGTATTCATTGAAAAAAAAGAAAATTATTTGAACATTATGTTGCAATTTTAAGCTTTGTCTGTCTTGATTTCTCTTTACATTTATTTTCTGTAGACCTTGAGTACCTTTGGTATGCTTCAGGGAGATTTTGGAGTGCTCAATCCTTTTCTTAAACTGGCTTGTTCTGTGAATATCTAATCTGAATTTAGAGAACTAAAATTTTAGGGTTTTAGTATTCCACTGTGTGGCTGAGTTGGCTTGATTCTACTGTGCCAGCAATACTAATCCTTTGTATTCTCTTAGTCTTGTCTAGATCTAACCTTAGTTGGTTTGTGCTTTTCCTCTAAGAAACTGGGGAAGTAAAAGTGCTGCACCAGCTTATTTAATAAAACAAGAAATAAAATTCATAAAACAGGACTATCTTATCAGAGTCAGATAGAAGTAACTTATTCAAGCTTTATAGTCAGTATTTTCAAAGACTGATGATGGGTCTAAGATTAAAAAGGAAGATTTGTCATTCTCCATCTTTAAAGTGATTGTTTGCTATTATGGTCCCTATTAGACAGGAACTAAAGTAAAAGAGAGAAAGTTTGGAGAATCCAGGAAAAACCTAAGTTGTCTTTTGCCACTGATAAAGTTTGAGATGAAACTAGTTTGAATAGGCAGTACACTGAAATGATGAATTTATAACTACTAGCACTTGTCAAATATACTTTAAAGTAGTAATCGCATGTAGCATGTGCTACATGTCATTCTTGATGGAAGAAGAGGGAGAAATAATACCAAAAGACTCACAAACACCAGCTTTAAAATTATTCAAAACAACAGAATCTTAAGTCATTAGGTATCCCATTACTTTTAAGGTAACAAATAAAACTAACTACTCAGAATATTAAGTAGAAAGTCAGATTTAAGGCTGACTGCACAAGCCACAGGAAAAGCATCAACAGGAGCCATTTTTAACCCAGTTGGTAATATTTTTGTGGCAATGGATATGAATGCTGCTCAATTGCTTACTCGAGAGACTCTGTTTATCAGAGCTCATTGACATGGAAGTAAGCTATGGTGACTTCACAAGTAGAAAGGAGGTTTTTTCTAACTGGAGGTCTGAAAAGCGAAGGATTGAATTTGAAACTAAATCTGAGTTTTTATTAGCTGTGATATATGTCACCAAGCATAATTTTTTTCACACTGTGCGTCATATGAGAGAGTGTCAAATTCCATTCATCTTTGCATATCTGTATTGTCCACACACAATACTATAATGGTGGGGGATGGACGGACGCAATATTAAATGTGAAGTATTAAAGCTCTAAATAAAAATAACAACTGTATTAAAAATGTGAAATTTGATTTTTTTTTATTTTTTTTTATTTTTTTTTTCACTATAGATGATCTCAACAAATGAAAATGCTATACTGAGACTTCGGCTTTCTTCCCATACTAAGGGGTTTTTTTTGTAAATGGACTAACTTTCAAATACAGATTTTAAAAAATTTATTTATTTTTTAAATCAAACCAGAAGTCTGTGAGCTACATATAGAAAAATATGTGCATAGATATATTCAAAAGCAGAAATCCTATGATATTTGTCTTTGTATGCTTTTTACATAATACTGCTACTTATGTCATCTTGTTTCTATAACTTAAAAGTTGACGTGTATTAGCATATCGAAAATGTACAGACTAAGACCACTTTTTATCCATCATTTTCTGCCTTTCATGCTTATTTACCTAAGGATCATGCTTCCTTTTGAAATGAAAGGTAATTGTAAGTTTACAGAACATTTGAATTACTTAATTGTGTGACTAGTTGGCACTGACGTAGCTAACTGGCTTTGAGATTTGATAAAGTTGGTACTTGGTTTTTATTTTATCTGGTAGTATAATCGATGGTGAGTGTTTAAACATTAAAAAAATTAAGTTTCCTCTTTGAGATAGTCTGCAGTAGAAAGAAGAGTAGTTTCGCTCAGGACTGTAACAATATTGCTTATGTGGCCTTCTCCTCGTCTTGGGGAGCAAATAAAACTCAGAGTTCAGAAGTTTGTATCTCACCAGTCAAACAGCTCCGGATATATCTGCTTTTTTGTATTTATTCATCCCTGGAAACAGATTATCTTTAAAAGCTGTTAGTTGAGGTAGTGCCACAGGCAAGTTGCAAAACCAAATCTTTAAAAGCAATTCAGCTTCAGGAGAAACATTGAACAATTTTATGTTTATTCTTCAGAAAGGGTGGGGGGAGGCAAGCCATATGAAGGGGAGAAAGTAGATTGTTCAATGATCAAAAGTTGTATTATGAACAAAGCACAAATGTAACTTGAAGTTCAGATGTATAGTTGGCATGGTTGTGGTGGGAAAATTTCACATCCCTCAAGAACATAGTATTTTCTAAAATGTTTGATGTTTTATACTGAATTAGAAATTGTCTTTTCTGAAAAAAAAATCAGTACATTGATGGGTATGTTACAGATTTGCATAGAAGAGGCAGTATGTAATCATTGAATTGTTTCAAGCTGTAGCAAGTAATTCATGCCTTTCAAGATACTAAAGATGAATTCGTGCTCTGAAAATGATGAATTTGGACTCTGCACTAGGTAAAATGACAGCAACCAGACACATACTCATTGTCACAAATAGATTTTTTTTTTTTTTTTTTAGTGTGTTCTTAATTCTAGACAGAGCTGAAGGGATTGCATCAAACTGCATTACGGTGCTAACCTTGTGCCATTGCATCCTCCTCCTAGCACATGGCAAAACCAGTGATGCTGGGGGAAGATTATGTGTGCCTTTCCCTCCTTCACAGGAAGTCCGACTCCAAAAGAGCTGTTGAACAAGGAGAGATCTCTTTGCCCCAGGTCTTAGGGAGAGCCTAAAGTGCATGCACTTTTCAAAGTCACATCTATTGGAGAAGGAACAGAGAGCATTTGCATATCCCTCTTTCTATTCTCACATCTGTACCATTGTTAGGAAAATCTAAAAATAGAAGATGTTGTTTCTAACATTAAAAGTATCTGCATACAGTTAAGGACTAGGATAATTTTTTGGAATATGTATTTTTACATGCATATATAAGATATTGACCTGTTAATCAAAATTATTTGATGAGTAATGATTGTGTCTCTGAACACTTAAACTAGATTGACACGTCTGTGGTAGCATTGCTTTGCAGCTCTGTTCTGACACTGTTAATTCCCAATCAGAGGAATTTGACACTTGATAGAGGAAGAGGATGATTTCTCATTCAATGAATCAAGTAATATCAATAATGATTGAAGTATTGATATCAAATGGATGATTACTTATTGGACAATAGCTTATGGTTTCTCTGCTTGAAATATAAGAGAACAACTGAATAAGTGGACTATGGAAATAAAAACATAAAATATTAAAGAGTAAAGCATAAATATTTTTGAGCTTTGGTAAAGATAGGATTCAAGTTGATTTTACAGTTAAGAAGTTTCCTTTATTCTGAGTTTTTCAAGGGCAATTTATTAGTTAAAACTGTGGATGTAAAACACAGGAACTTTCTTTACTTTGTTCCTATAAGCAGAAACTTTTTTTTGTAAAGGCTTAATTCTGTTGGGATACTATTGTAGACTATTTGAGTCAATTGGAATTTTATTATTCACATCAAAGTCTTAGCATTTTTTTCTGACCAAAAAGGAAATCGAAATATGGGATATACAGCTTCTTGAAGATGGCAGTCAAGAATTTTTATGGAATTAAAAAAAAAGCTCTTTTAATCTCAGAAATCAGAAAGATGAGAAGTAATGTTGAGACTTCAAATTCTGATGTAATGTCCAATGCTTTTAGTACTTAACCTAATCCTAAAGCTTGTTGAAGGAGTTCAGTGATTCTTCCAAGTATCTGTGTAGTGTTAATTACAAAGAGTCAATATTAAATGGTAAAGAAAGAATATTGACATAGACTAAGTGTCTTGCTATGTTTTCTTTTCCTCACTTGAAATCAAAGCACTGAAGCGGTTTCTCAGAGACAGTTCTTTGAAAGCATTTAGTATTCTTTTTTTTAATATGTGTGTCCAATCTGTCTGTGAGAGGAAATCTCATATTTTGTTTTAAATACTAAAGTTAAAGACTAGTTTTATTCCCATCAAAGTAGATGATTTGTGGGAAGTCATTGGTTATGACAAACTATCCGTTTTTCACCTGAATAGTACCTGATAAATGAGACCAAGTCTTACAAAAAAACCAGCTTAGGGAACGAGTTAAATAACATACTTCACTCTGCATCATAGAAATATAAATGGTTGTTTAAAAATTAATTCCTTTCATATATTGGATGCTACATGTATTTTCAGCATGGCTACATAATATGAGCATTTTTGTATTAGTCATGAAATATGAAATGCTGGCTGTGCTGTTCTTAAGCAGTTCTATGGGTTTTTTTGTAAATATCTTTTTTTAATCAGCTTGTGTTCTCCTTTGTATATGCTGTGTTCATGCTTAATATTAATAAAACCAGACCTTAAAATATTCTTATTTTAAGAATAAAAGCTCTAAAGTAATTTATTATTTTTTTCTTACAATTTTCTAATAGTATGACTCAGTTATTTGCTTCCTTATACATTAGAAAGCAGAACATCTGGATTTACCCTGCTATCCTTGAAAAACTGTAATGTTCTTTGCCTACCGTATGCAATTACAGTGTTAAATATGTCAAACAAATTTTAAGATATGTAAAAGGAATCCTTTATAATACAGGATATTGTATTTGGACTTGATTCATAAACTACTGTCTGTGTACAAACTAATCTGACATAGCTGCTAAATACTTTGGGGTGAACAAAACCACTCAGCATATCACTTTAAATACAGATGCTAATACATCTCTTCAGTGCAAGAAGAAAAGAGTTGTTTCTGAAGTAAAATTAGACAATAGAGCCAATTTCATTTTTTATGCATGTGAATGTAGAGTGCTTGAGGTTATTAGTTGAAACTGAGTAACCTTTCCAGGCTTTCATCTCTTTCTTTTCGAATTTGAATATGAAAAGCATATTCAAGTCAAAGACCGTCACTTTAATGACATTTGGCAGTCATTTGATTTATTAGATTTTAGAAAAAAAAAATTCCTTTAAATATTTCATCATTCTATGCTAATCCCAGTAATATTGCCAGCTGAAACCGTGTACCTGTATTAGTGGAGACAGAATGGTGTGGAATTTTCTCTGTCATCCTAGTAAAATTTCCATGAATCTACTGAATAATAAAACGACCTTATTGAAATATTCAGATTTGGGTTTTTAGTTAAAGTGTCTTAGGATACATAATAAAAGGAAAAGTCTTTTGAAAGGAGGGGGTAAAATTACTTCATCAAATATTGAAAGGGCTTGACAGCAATGGAAATTGTTCTATGTGATGGATATTTTTACAATAGGATACACCTGCTTTTCAGTTTGATTAATGATATAATTTGCTTGGAAAAATATAAGCTATCTCCATAATAAATTAGAATACTGACTTGCAGTTCTAACACTGAATCTAAAAAGCTAATCTTTTGAATATATTTTATTACTTCAAGTGATTTATGTTTACAATCAAAAATTGTCAAAATATTTCCATATAGGGAAAATATTTTTAATAAAGTTAGGAACTTGAAAAGACAATAAGGAATTAAAACCAGAAAAATCTGTTAACATTTCTGATCTCCAGCGTGTTCTGTTTGCTCTTTGAAGAATCTCATCTTTGAATGCTCACCTCTGTACTCCAATTTTGAAACCATAGTGGCTGTTCTTTCTTTGAATTACAGAGTTACTTAGGGAAATATTTGTGACTGTCGAGTCTGACATTGCCACTTATATACACAAAGCTTATTAAAATCTATCTGTACACAAATAATACAGACTTTGCAGAACAGTATGAAACAATTTCAACTAAGCAACAGAAAAATGTCATTTTAGGTAAAGATAATAAGGAAAGGCTCTGGCGCAGAACAATTGGGATATTACTTTTATTGTATTGTTAATTATAACTTTTAAATGTATATTTTATTTAACTAGAAAAGTTCAGCGTATGAGGTTGAATTCCATATAAATACAGTGCTAGTTTACATGCCTAACTGCTTTGTGACTTGATGGGTTTTTATTGAACTATTTGTAGTATAGTCTGCAGTAGGCACTAAGTAAGAATTCTCTTTCATTTGGGAAACTTTGGTACCTAATATTACTGACACTATTTCGAGCAGTTACAAGATCAAGATACAAATCACTTTGCTGTAGCTAAAAATAATGGCAACTGAAATTTGTGGTTCAGATATCGTGTGTACATGAAGATAACCTCAACCTAATCTTCTCCAGCAGAGTATGACTACTGCAAAAGTATTGTTAACACCGAAGGTAAATCAGTATCTGTTGCAACAATATTCTTAACTACAAACCCTGGGGCTTTAGAATCTCATTGTGTCTCTGTCGAAATCAATCAGTCAGCGTTAATCATACAAAATAGCCAATGATTTACATGTATGTTTGGCTGGTTTATGTTATCACTTCAAGAAACACAAAATAACTTGAATTGTGTTTGCGCTTTGTTTTTAAATAGGTGACTGAAAAAATACGGATTGAAATTATATCGCTCGGTCTTACTGAGTCACGAATTACATCAGATGAAAAAATACAGCAGCTGTTTGTAGAATGTAAATTACACAATTTCCTTGCAGAGGAGACCCCACTGTCACTTCCAAAACCAACAAGTGGTCAGAGGGTTTACTATAACTATAGCAAAGGTAAGTATGATGTATTCCTAAGCAGGTTTGTTTCTTCTCTTAAATTTTGTCTTATGAAAATGCCTACCACTAAAGTCTGCTTCCTCTATATGTTATAGTTGCATTTATCTGTGTACCGATAGTATTTGTCTACTTCCCAAATATTTTGGAAAATATTAAAGGTGTTTTTTAAGCAATGAGGTAAGAATGCAATTATCAAGTATAAAATGAATTATTGAAGTAGGCTTGTGTTTGAAATGGTAACATTGCAGCATGTTTAAATGTGCTACTAGTGCATAAATCTTAAAATTAGGCTATATGTAACTAAAATTTATGTATTCTTCTTTAAACTATGGGATGAACCAATTTCTGTATCAGTGCATGATGCTGCAGCAAAAGAAAAACCTTCCATGTACAACTGAAATACAGGTGAAAAGAGAAAATATGTAATTGGACATGATCATCACCTGGGAATACTCAATTTTCCTTTAATAAGAACTTTTTGAAATAGGAAATTATTCAGCCATGTTTGATACTAATAAATTCCTGTTTACTTCATAATACTTAATCCTGCATGTTCCATATGCTAGTCTGTAATAAATGAACATTTGAAAATACTTTATGTCAATACAAAGTGTAATTTACACTAATAGCATACACAGAACTATTGTAATAATTGATAATCTCATGTTAATTATTTTCCCAGCTATTTCATAGTGTTTCAATTATTCATTATTTTTTTTTCTGTTGAAGTCTATTTCATTTAAGATTCAGTCTGAGTGCTTCATGTTGTCTTGGACTTTGAGTATTGCATTTTTAGCTGAGAGTGCCCTGGAGCAGTTGAATCGGTTTGCTATTCGTGAGACACTATTAATACAAACATTCTAATGAAGCATTCTTTTAACAATAATTTTGTAAAAATGACTTTGCAAAAGTGGTGTCACACTCAGCTCTTTAAAATTGCTACCATCTAAAAACCTGATTTTTAGAAGGAGACTTGCCAAAGAATTTACTCATTTATATCCTCCTAATACTTGTAAATTATTGGATTACCCCATAGTTGAAGACTGAAATCCCTCATAGATGTCACACCAACCATCACTATAGTGGGACTGCCCATTTGAGAGAGAATATAGAGGACAGGGCACACTGTGTTAATTGCTGTGTCTCTGAGAAAGACACTAATCTTTGTAAGGCTTTAGGGAAAAAAAAAAAACAAACAAACAACAAACAAAAACAACAAAACTAATAGCACTGCAAACTCTTTCATTCACTGAGGCTTACTTCCATGCAAACAAATGGGATTTCTGGCATCATGTACTAAATGAGGCATCAGATAGGTAAGAACTCTTTCTATGAGCTGAACAATATGCATCTTGCTAGCTGCTGTAAATATTTTTCCAAATGTTCTAGATAGGCAGACATAATTGAAATAATTTTTTTAAAACCTCATTGAAATAATACCATAACCAAATAAAAGCTATTTAACACTTAATTCCTTTTGCTTCTTGAATTCTCATTTCTTTGAATATAAGAAGCGTTCAGAAAGTATAAAAATTCTTACACAATATTCCAATTCCTGTGTATGTTAGGTATGGTCTAAGCATAATATTAGTTTTTTAAGTATTGACCCTGCAAAGTTAAACTGGCAAAATGCAGCACAGTTATGATGAATACAAAGTGAAATTTCGACTCTTAAGACAATTATGAAACTTAAATATATTTCAGGCTGTGATACTTGAAAACTATCATGCTTCGTAGAGACCGTAATTCATAAGGGTTTCCAATCTGGTAGTGCTGTGTCACATTATTTCTGCGAGTCAAAACGTGGCTTCGTAACTTTGGTTTTTCTGCTTCAGTATCAAATTTAGAGCTGTTTAAACTTTAAAATAAACTAAAAAAATCAATATCAAAAGGTGGTTTTCGTCTTAATTATTTCAGGACTGTATTCTGCAGCATAATACTAATGTGGTGGTTGTTTGCAGTGTTTTGCTTGGATAATTGGTCATCTAATTTCTATTCAAGATTAGCTTTGCATATAGGGGGGAAAAACCTACTGAGTCTGCTTTTTGATAATGTCGATTGGAAAGCCAGTAAGATAATAGTAATGAAATCCGCATGTTTGTTTACAATAGCTTTACTGCATCTCTTATTCATGTCTAATTAGATTTGAGTATGTGGAATATTTGAGGTTAATTGGATATTTTCTGTAATAAAAATGAAATTTGCATGGATAGAAAGAAATTTGCTTTGAGCTTGGAAGGAAAATAACAGTATTACAGATTTTTGCATGGAGAAAGTCAGGGTAAGTCCAAAAGTAATCTAAAAAATCATTAATTCATATAACTAAAACTTTTTACATTGTTTATAACTGGAACAGCTTGACTATTTTTAAAAACATCTTAACTGATACTGAAGGTTCCATGAGATTCATTGTTTTAAAAGCATTTGAAGTTTTGCTGTATCTTTTGCACATCCTTTGCTGTCATTGATTGAGATGTAAGGTACCAGATTAATGGAATCTTTCTGAAAAAAAGAAAAGTATAGTAGAATTCCATTGATCTGAATATACAAGTTCCTATGAACTTCCCTTTTCTTAAGTGGTTAGAGCATGTAATTTGACATGAATTGTTTATTTTGACTATGACTTTTTAGCTAGGAATGGTTAGAAGGCAATTTTCTTTCTTGCAAGGTCTTGGAACAGAAACTTGAATAAGAGTTTTATGCACTCTAGGGTTATACCATGTACCTTTTGATTTCCCGTGGCATTAAGTGTTATATGTACTGATGGCCATACTGACTGAGGTGCAGAGCTGTTGCGTTTGTTAGTGGTGGAAAGTGTTATTAGAATATCCAAGAATGCTTCCAAACACTGCAGTCCAATAAATTCAAAGAAAAGTGGAACTTGCCAAATTATGCTCACACCATGACTCTCTTCTGTAATTTGGTAAAAAGGAAGGATTCTGTTTTTTTGATGGGGTTTGTTTTGGTATGGCTTGGTTTTGATGTTAGTAACCAGGGAATTAATATCTTAACTTTTTAATGCAGTTTAATATTGTGTGCCTGAAGTTATTTATTTCCAGTCGTGTCACAATATATGCTTTAAAGTGAAAGTAATGGCAGTTTCACTGTCAGAAAAACATAGGGAAACATGTTGCTCCAAGCAAACAAAGCCCAGTCTCCCTCACATATAAATGAATCTATTGATATTTGACTCTTAATTTCAGTAAAACAAGCATTTTTCTTGTCAAGGCCACAATTACTTAAATTATGAAACAAAGGTTAGTTCATAAATGTTGTTAAGAAAAAATATTTGTATCTTATTAGATATAAAGACTTAACTATGAAAAGGCTAAGATGGCAACAAAGTTGCTAGAAAGGTTTGATAGAAGGTCTGAAATGTGTCCTTGTCACTGTATACAATGGTTCTAGAGAACAGGCAACAGAAGTAGAAGAAAGATTTACAAAGTTTTGCAAAGATTTTGTATGACATTTAATCAGAAAACTTTCTCTTGAGTGAACAGGTGGTTATTTCAACAACTTGAAGTACAAGTGTAAGTAGACCAAAGGGAGGGGAGCTGGGGGAAAAATGGTGGGGTGTATTTTTTATTAAAAATCATCTTCTGAAGATCCATATTCTAAAAGGTGGATTCCTCAGCATAAGTCAAACGAAAATGTTAAGGCCTTTGTCCTGTTTTGGCTGGAATAGAGTTAATTCTCTTTCCAGTAGCTGGTTCAGTGCTGTGTTTTGGATTTAGTGTGAGAATAACATTGATAACACACTGATGTTTTAGTTGTTGCTAAGTAGCACTTATCCTAAGTTAAGGATTTTCTGGTTTCCCGTGCTCTGCCAGCAAGAAGGTGCACGAGAAGCTGGGAGGGAGCGTGGCCGGGACAGCTGACCTGAACTAGCCAAAGGGATATCCCGTACCATAGAACATCATGTCAGTATATAAACTGGGGGGAGTTGGCAGGGGAGATGGTTTGCTGTTCGGGCGTCTGCCAGCAGGTGGTGAGCAATTGCATTGTGCATCACTTGTCTTGGGTTTTATTTCTCTCTCTTTTTGTTATATTCCTTTTCATTACTGTTGTTATTATATTTATTATTGTTATTATTATAGTCTATCTTATTTTAGTTATTAAACTGTTCTTACCTCAACCCACGAGTTTTACTTTTTTTTTTTTTTTTCAATTCTCCTCCCCTGGATGGGGGACGAGTGAGTGAGCATCTGCGTGGCACTTAGTTGCTGACTAGGCTTAAACTATGACTCAGAAAACATTGTTATACTTCTTTGTGTTTATTCCTTTTCTCCATTAAAGCTCAACACTATGAGGCATTTTTTTCTTCATTACTGTGATGAAGCTGCTTCATCATGTAGTCATTTAGTTTTGTTAGAAAGTGAAGTATGAAAAAAATGCACTATAACAGAACCAGTTATGCTAATGTTTGGATTTTCAGTGATTTTTAACGAAGTTCCAGGTTTTAATTCTTCTTTAGGACAAACTTTTAAATTATCATTTTAGAGGCAAGCTGTCACAAATTAATTTTGAATTATTTTTACAATTAATTGGATAGAAATATGAGATGTTCCATGCCTTGGAGCAATGTTATAATTCTAAGTTCAGGCAGTACTAAGGGGTGAAATGGAAGCATGTTATTCATCAGGATCTAAAAATATGTTTTCACAATAGCTAATCATTTTCCCCAGACTTGAATGGAGTTCTTGTGCTGAGTGTTTTACTTGCTAGTCTGAATTTTTCCATTGAGTGAAATGATTTCAAACTCTTCAGGTTTAAAATTGTTTTAGATACAGAATTAGCAAAGTTAGGAAATTCCGTTTGGGATGCTTATGGGAAAGAGAAGAATCTGTTGATGTGGCAGCTCCTTTGAAGTTCTTTGGCTGTCCATCTGTCTCCCTGCTGCCTCCTCATCACTTCCTCAAGTGCCCCAGGAGCACTTGGCCATGAGAGTAGCACATGTGAAAGGTCATCCACATGCCCAAAAGAATAGCAGATGGCAGTAACAGCTCCTTTTAACCTAAGAAAGTAAGAATATTGTGGGTGGAAACTAAGGATTCCAAGATAGAGCACCAATGCTTTGCTTTCTGTTGGTAGAGAAAAAAGGTATTAAATTGCAGACTCCTTTGATTAAATGATTCCGATACCAGTCGTACTGACTGTTTTGTGAAAGTAACTAATTTCTTATAGTGATTCTGCTGCCAGGTAAGAGCTGAGGAGCAGCTTTGGAGAAAATTGGAGAACCAGTAGCTCTGGAACGTGTGCTTCCTAGAAGGACTTCTGTGGAGATGTGTCCATCCATAAATCTGTCTGCAAGGAATTAATTTGAGCCTTCTTATCTGTCGTTTGTACTCCTATATTCTAATACACACTGCTCCTTGGTTCAACTGGGAATTTCTGTTTATACGAATAAGTTTATTTTGGATAATGGAAGACAGTATGAAATACATTAAAGATTTCTGTCAGCACATCAGAAAAGGAAACCTTAATGTGATGTGGAGAGTTAAAAAGACCTTTTTTGAGTACAGTGGCAAAGTAACTAGAAGACAGTGAATACTAAAGATGTTGGAATTTAAAGACAGACCAATCCCTAGCTCCTCCTCCTGCCCTCAAAAACAAATGAAAATGTTCCTAAGAGCTATGTTTGTTCCTCAGAGGGTTATATTCATTCTAGTTCTGTCCTAGAAAAAATTTTTAGCTGCATTTCTTGGTTAAAAAAGAAAGTAATTCCTTTAACACTGTTTTGAAAGATTATAAAAATTCATCGAATTTCATGGTAGTTTACTGATACTTGTAGACTGATACTGTTTGCAAGAAAGCGGCCACTTTTCTAATATAGGACGCCCAAAAACTTTTTAAAGAATTTCCTAAAACCCTGTTTCTCATTCTTTTATTGTTTTTCTTCCAAACCAAGGCTATTTTTCACTGTAGGTCATATTAATGGTACGAAAATTAAAAGCTGGTCCTTGTGTTTGTGTTTTAAATTAAAACAGTAAAAGGCTTTCAGAGCACTCACATACACTCCCCAGGCTGTGGATTTTGTCCAGTCCAGTGCTCTAGATGTTTCTCTTACTGAAATATTGTGGCAGAAAAGGAGGATTAAATTACTGAGGCTGTCAAAAAGGACAAGTGCTCTGCCATACATTATCATTATCACTAGCTTCCTCAGTGGAAGAAAATGCAGTAAATCACTTCAAATACAAAGCAATGAAGACCACTGGCTTTTAAAATCATGACTGCTATTGCCATTAACAGAAAATGACAGCTATGTGGCATGCTTAGATGCTGCTTGTATCTTTTTTGACAGTGTGCACATAAACCTGCCAATGACACGCCATTAGATCACATGACCTTTCAAATTTGATTCTAACATTGTTGCTTTTCCTTAGGAAAGACAAGGGAAAGGTTTCTTTTTCTTTGGTTTTCATGCTTTTTCTTCTAACAGGTGAAAAACTACTAATAACTAATTATATTAATTCTGATTTTCTTTGCAGTGATACCTGTGGATAAGGCATATAATTGTGCAAGAAGAGAGTATCTCAAGTCTATGCTTCTAAAGCCAGGTCTACATACTGACAGGTACATATTAGTGCTGGAAAACTATGAAAGGTCTTTGTAAATAACGCTTGTGGTTTGCCTTGTTGTTTGACTTTATTGAGGAGGTATCCCTGAGAAGTTAATGCATAACTAATGAACTAGAGAAAATTTTGTTTCAGCTAGGAATGATACCTGCATTCTGATGTGATTGCTCCACATTTCTTCCCTGGGTAGGTTCCTGTGGCAAGGAATATTGCAACCTCTCTTAATGCTGTTTTAGTGCTGTGTTTTGGTTTTGTGGTTTGTTTTTTGTTGTTTTTTTTTTTAGCAATCTTGTTTTGCAAAAGAGTGACTCTATCCTATCAATAATGAATTTCAAAAGTACATATCTAGCTGATGGTAGAGTAATACTTTCTGAATTCAGAATACTGAAAGGAGCATAAGAGCTTCAGAAAGTGTTGCTTGGCCCTATAATTTCAAAAACCTATGTATATATTGATGTAGCAGGCAGCTATTATGTGCTTACATATGAGAAAGAGTATAAATTAGTCTTGTCCAAGCTCATAATAATAAATTTGTTCTTATTCACATTTTTTGATTGAGGTAACATGCACATTACTTTGAGAGAATGAATGATATCCTTTGATTCTGTTTCCTCTTGAAGGTCAATCTTCATTAAAATGTAACAGTTATCAATTTAGAGTGTCATTTAATTTGCAGAATATCTGCTGATTGTATTTGAAGTGTAGGAGTTACTTGTAAATCTTTTAAATACATATTTATTCACAAATCACAGATTCACTCTGCAGTGAGAGAGTGATTTCTCTTCATTCTGTTTTCCTTCTAAAGCTGAGTTTCATGTCTTGGCCAGAAAACAGGTTTTACTGGAGCGGAGCAGGGAACACCATGAAATCATTACTTGTTGGGATGGAAATATCATACCAAACCATTCTTAGGTTTGGAGACTGACTGGGGAAAAAAAAAAAAAAAAAAGTCTTCACTTAATAAGCAAGCAGAAGACTTATTTTACCATATAAATTAGGAAAGCGGGTAATATGTTCTACTAAGAATTTAACAATACTGAGGACAAAATACTCTTTTTTTTTTTTTTTTTTTTTTTTCTGTGAGATAATTCAGTGAAGGGAAATAATTAGCATGTGTGCTGGCTGCATTTTCACCTGTAAATACTTAGATAGGTATACTAATTATTTAACAAAACTAAAGTAAAAATAAGGTAAAATAACAGCAGCCTGTTTTTTTCCCACAACAGAAGCATTCGTCTTTTACATATGCCATCATGGTACTGTCCTCTTTGTTACTAGGTAGGTTGCTTTCTGCTTTTATCAGTGTGTCTAATTTGGTCTGTGGTGAAATTTCAGTGCTGTGTTGACTAAAAAGCAAGGCAGGAAATTCATCAGTAGTCCAGTTCCCTACTTTATCTTAGCAAGAGGACCACCAAGAAACAAAATTGATGGAAAGATTCTGCCTATACACCAAATGTTTTTAACTGTGTGCATTTTAAACCTAGCCTAGTTATATCTTCCACACATGTTTTCTGTCATAAGCCTTACAAACTATTATCAGAGCTTTTTCAGCTGAAACAGGAACTGAACTAAACTAAGGCTTTAAAGCTCAGGAAACCAAATTATCAGGGATATAAATATCATTGAAAATTGCCTGCACATGGTTTAGACTGACACTTTATTGGTGTTTGTGCTATGCCAGATTATAGGAGCATAGATAGTGTATTATGTGTATTAAGTGGTGTATTAAATTTTCAGATGAACTTTCTCCCTGTCACAATAAACACTTTTAGAAATTATACTCATGATGATTGGGTCCATATTAGAACATGAACAAATAGATACATCATGTGCTATTTTTGTCTTCCAAAAGGATATTCGCTTTAATGAATGTCCTTTGAAAAAGATAAATATTCTCAGGTGTGAAAGGATATATTAATATAATGCATAAAATTACTGCTAAGCCAATGTTGCAACATAGCCTAACCCTCTAGTTGAAACAGGAACCAACTTGGCCCTGAAAATAATGCGTTTCACAGCTTTACACTCTTTTAATTTATACTTAAAAATAAATAAATGTAGATTGACATAGCGTTTATGTGAAAAAGTATGTTTATTTCATACAGTCATAGGATCAGTTAGGTTGGAAAAGACCTTTAATAACGTCGAGTCCAACTGTTACCCTAGCACTGCCAAGTCCACCACTATACCATGTCCCCGAGTGCCACATCTACACGTCTTTTAAATATCTACAGGGATGGTGACTCAACCACTCCACTAGGCAGTCTGTTCCAGTGCTTGACAACCCTTTCAGTGAAAAAATTTTTCCTAATATCTAATCTAAAATTTGTTGGGAGTGGGGTTTATTGTTCATTAAAAGATAAGATTTCAAAACAAATTTGCATTTTCTCTTCTTCCATTTTCATTTCTTGACATGGAATCATTGCAAGTGTTTATTAGAAATATTGATTTTGGTTCTATATTTGAATAAGTGGCTTTAGTGTCAGAAATTGCAAGAACATTCAGTACCCAAGAAAATCAAGAATATACGCTGCTAAATAAAACGATATTAAAATCTAAAATATATGAGCACGAGGTAGTAGGAGGCTAGGATGACTGAAATCTTGTTTAGGTTAGTAATTGTTGCATAACACAAAGATGGTTCTTCTCTTTTGGCAAACACCTTTGTCTATGTTTTCAGGCAGACAATATCTCTATCATTAATATGGAAATTTTGTCAGAACAGTTGCTTTTTCTTACAGCTGTGTTGCATGACATGGGTAGCCTTTTTCCTTTTTGTTTTGTTTCTTTTCGTGTATAATAGGGATTCAAATTACACTCGTTATTTATGTTAGGAAGCTATACTCACTAATGTTAGTAAAACTTCGCCAAAAAAAAAAGGGTACAAAATTATTAATTTATCATCTGAACCCCATAGTTATTTGTTCAAGTCTTTAAATCAATAATTAACAGGAGGCATTTCTGGCAGTCCGTTTAACTTACTGTAACTGTGTCACAGTTATCTTTTATTCTTCATCCTGTTTGTATTCCACTGTAGCCTTTCAGCTTTTTAAGTGCAGAAATTTGGGTCATATAGAGAAACTTACCTCATTCCTTATGCCAGATTGTACTTGCAATGCCTGCAGACCTGGCGGTAGAGTATATGCTCTTCTGACAAGTGTCAAGAGAGACATATGTGAGGAATGGAAGAATCCATTCTTCTAACAGTCACCCTGCTGTGATAACAAGAGTGAACAGGTTTATGCAAGAGGTTTCCAGGCTGATCCTGACAGATGCAGCATTTCTTGGTGGGAAATGATTGTTGTTCCAAGAAACTGACTGTATGAAGTTGTTGTTCTTCAAAGTAACAAAATCTGTGCATCCATGTTACAGGAGTATAGAGCGTGTGTACAGTGTTAGCTTTACATTAATATGCTGTATTAACACACAAGGTTTTCTCCTTGCTGCTTAAAAGTAACTGGTCTCTGGAGTAAAGAATTAGTATCAAATTCGCCTATATTCACAGCTTTTGTCCAGGTATTGTAAATTCCCTGCTGGTGGTAATACCTTGAAGTCCTATCATAACAACAACAATAAATATTTGTCCAGGTTTTTCTGCTTCATTGTAAAGCACATTTTAAGCTTAAGGCAATTATTTTTTTTACTTTATTTATGTAAGAAATCCTAGTATGAATTCGATATTCCAACTTTCTTCAAAGTTTCTTAGATAAATGAGGAAGTGTTAAGGTAAGATGGGACACTAGCTGCACATTTGTGCATTCTATGCTGAAACAGAGTGAGGAGTCTGTTCATGTGCAGTATGTTCCAAGACAATGTAAACTGTGTCTTTTTAGCCAGTTCAACCTGAAAACAAAACTCTTGCAATTTTTGGTTAGTCGATAAAACAAGTTAAAGCATACTGACTATCATATTTAAATATTTTCTAAACTTAAAGCATTTGTAATATTTTTAAAAAATACAAAAGTCAAAATGATTGTGGTACCATTCTTGCAGTCTACTATTGGAGTATTCCCATGGGATCTGGAGTTCAAATCTCCTTCCTGATTAGCAGCGAAGATTTAATCCAATATTACAATCTTTTAGGCATATTGGAACTATACGGTGGTAGAGGTGCAGTTCTTCTGATCAGTTTTGTTGAAGCTTGCTCTATTAATGTAAAATACTTGCATATGATCTGAATCAGAAAGTTCTGATTCAGAAAGAAAAGGTATGAACGACTCTTCACTTTGGCCGTAAGGTACTGTCCCAAATGTTACTAGGCCTGCTTTTAGTTTGTGCTTTAGTGAAAATTTTAGTAGTAGTTGGTAACCTTAAGTGATAAAAATTAATCAAGCATTAATCCCCTTCTCTTCTATCACTGTCTTAAATGCTAAGCTGGTTTCTCCAATTGATTTAATTTAACATTGATTTAATTTAACATTGACACTGAATCATAACAAAAACCAGATCTGTTCACAATACCCAACAGTTTTATTCAGTTATTGTTACAGTTTTTAATTTGTTTTTATTTAATTTGATATTTATCTTACACACCTAAGTATTTCTTTCATCTTGATTGAGTTTTGGCAGTTTTGCTGCTCCTTAGCTCTGTGCCAAATTCTTAAGTTAGATCCATTATACTCAATCAAGCCACCTGCTGTTGCAAATAGCTGTGATATTTTTCCATTTTTGCCTCCAGAAATTTTTTTTAAAGACACATATTTTTAATAGGTATCTGATTTTAGTGACAAACAAATGTTTGAGTATATATTTTCTAAAATAAATATTTTAGTATGAACCAAGCACCAAAATAAATTACTATAAAAGCATATTGCAGTTGGGTTTATGTTTAAAGTCTTTTAGGAAGACTTGATTATATTTTGTCTAAGGTATCCTTTCCTGTAGAGTTGAATTTTACACAACTTGGTTGTTACTCATTGTGAATTATGCTTATTGTAACAATTTTAGGCTGTAGGGCTCACAGGCATTCACAGTTTAAACAACATTGCCAAGACATACCAAAAAAGTAGTTAGCTCTGAATTCCTGTCATTTTGTCAATCTCGGTGTTTTTGGCCCCAACACAAGCCGCTAACTCAATTCAGCTCCAGCACAATACTGAAATTATGTGTTTAAAAGAAAAGCCATACTTGGATGCAATGAGTGTAATTTAAGTTCACAGAAGAAATGCAAATATTTTGTTTGTGTAGTTGTTGGGCTTAGATATTTGGGGTGGACAAACAGGCTGTGTTTAGGCAGCATGGTAAATACTCAAAGGCCTTTGTATCCAGGCTGTACTCATGGGTAGTTTTTTTATGTGTGAAACAGGAACAGAATAATGAAGATATAAAATATGAGATGTATTGGTCAGAGGGATCAAGTGCAGGACAAATTTCTGTGTAAGATCTAACTTTAAATAATAAATACACAAGACAACATTAGAAAGATAGTATTTTGAGAGAACTGCTTTTAGGTTCCTGTTATTTTTGTGGAACGTGTTCTTGGCTAGAATATGCTCTCCAAGTATCTAAATGAGGTGTGAAAATTCTCAATAACTTTAAGCTAAATATTTTACACTTGGTGTTTGGAAATACTTGCTCATTCAATATGGCTAGTATTTCTGATATCAGGAAAACATTTCATATGGTTTGTCTTTCTCAATTATTTATCTCATGTCTCCCGCACCACTCAATTCAAAGCCAAGAAAATGCATGGCTTAAAATTTACTAAGCCTAGATCTAAATTATCAAGTGGTGTAGACCAGACAATCTCTAGCACAAAGCAGTTGTTGCTGACAGTCTGATGTTCACAGTACATACATTTTTAGGATGATTTGGAGAATTCAGAATACTGACTAATCCTACTGACTGAATGATATTGCACTGGAGTGCATTAGGGATGGGTACTGCTGGAGCACATCTTCAGTTTAGTTTAGTCCAGTCCAACAGGAATCCAATTAATGTGTCCAAGACTACTATGCAAATAAAGCACCATAACTGGGGACAACTGAAGGGGTTTACTTCATAAGCATGCTCCATATCAATAATAGAGGTGCATCTCAAGTGACCTCACTGAATTAAAATAGTTGAACTTTTTAAAGAAGTTTATGGTATTAAAAGGTTTTAACCAACAAAACATAATTACATTTGATCTCAACCTTCCATTATTGCTCATTAATTTGTTTGGTTTTCTTCACATTAAATAATTTGCATGCTATGGTCAACACAGTAAAAATTAAAAACAAACAAACAAAAAAACCTTAACTATATTTTTAAATATTTTATATAAATGAGTTTTACTATAAAAGCCTCAAAGTACATAAATACAATATTGATTTTCACATGAAGGGTAAATATAAAGCAATTAAGTGACTTGAAGAGTTGATTCAGCAGCTGAGCTAAAGAAACTTACAAGTTTCAAAGCAAAAAAGTGTTTAATCCTTAGACTATTCTGCCTGTTGCTGCCATATGAACAAGAATTGTGCCACAGGGTGGTGGGGAAGGGGGAGAAAAATGAAACAATTCTCTAAGCCTGCAGATTTGTGGTTACAAGCTCTCTGTCCTTCTAGTACTGATAAATAATGCTAGAGGAGAAGGGAAAATTTAAAAGAAAGGGTCTCAGACTATTCTTGTCATGGAAAATGTTGAATATAATTGACAAAGCGTTTATATAGACCATGGGTTTTGCCTTTCTTTTTCTTGTTTTTGAGTTATTTTTCAACACCTTTTTTTTTTTTTTTTTATGATTAGCCTACAATTTTCAGTGATCAGTGATCCCCCAGCAGATGAACAGAATCTTGAATGTGAAGATATCGGTTTTGCTTGTGTCAATTTGAGAGAGATATTCCAGAAGCAAAGAGATATTATTGAGCAAGATATTGATGGTAAGTTTTAGAGATTACTTTCTTGTAACCTTTTGTAACCTAAAAATTATTTTTTGAATTTCTGCTTTTCCTCTGCAAGGTTTACTGTGCAAGTAATTGTTTGACATTGTTGCAATAAGAAATTAATAATAACTAGTGACTTCCACATTTGTTTGGAAAAGCTTGCAAATCTGTGTACTATTGTTATTCCTTAAAATCTTTTTTAAAAGAACAAAACAAAACAAAACAAAAACAACCAACAATCACAGCATTCCCAGCTCGTAGTAATTAATTTATAAAACCTAAGAACTTTCAGGACATGTCCACATACTATAATTCTCTATTTTGTACAGCACACTTCATGCTAGTAAGACTATAAATATGTATTTTCTTATTAAAATTTATGTCAGTAATTCTGTATTGCTGATGTCTATACCTTACTTGAAGTTACATTATAACTTCCAGAGTACCTCAAGCTTGTGTTCTCCGTATGAACCCTGTATCTGAGACATATGAAATACTTTTAGCTTTGGTTAGGTATCAGTTTAGAGTAAGCATCCTTCTGTAACTGACTGTGATTGAACTTTCACTGTGACTTATTAAAGCAAGGTGAGGTGAGTAGAAGGTGTGGAATCTTCCAATTCCTGGGTCTTAACGACAGACAGCATTTTTATTAGGCTGATAAGAAGACTTGAGAAGGTTTCTCAGTCTTTTCATAGGCAGTGAAGGGAAATATTCTCCTTGCTTAGACTGCCCAGTTCCCTGAGGTACCAGGGACACGGTTATCGATGCTGCATTTTTCCCCTTACCTGTTCCTCTCCATCCTCTCTCCCTGTTGTGGTAAAGCTCAGTGAAGAAGCTGAGAGTATATCTGTTATAAAACTGTTACTCTCCTATAACAGTAAGTGAACTCTGCAATAGCAAGAATTCTCATTAGCCCTAGTAGGACACCAAGCTAATGTGACGTTCCTACTTCTGCTGCTGATTACTATACCTTGAGTCATGGGGAGCTGTGCAGTGAGGAAAAGAAATAGGCTTTCCTATGCATTGTCATGCATGACTTGCATCCATGCTGTAGCTAAAATACTCAAAGTGTGCATCAAAGTTCCAGGAATACGATGAGGAAGATTTCAAGAAGAATCAAATTTCCATACCCTGGAAAAATAATATACAGATTTGATGCACTTCTTACTGTGGCTGAACCACTTAATCTTTTCTCTACCAATAATTTTTCTCTAAGTAGTTGTTCAAAAGCACTTCTCTTCCGAAAAGGTATTTCATAGTCTCTAACTGGAAAATTGTTTTTGTTCTAGATTTTGTGGCCATAATTCCCATTGTCATTTAATAAGATTGATTAGTGATATAAATACAGTTTTGTACCCTTGAAAGTCACCTTTCACAAAACTCTTAAAATCATCATCTGAGATTATTGTTATGACAGGAAGGACTGTTTTTAGTTACTAGTTGTTCTGTCAAAAGGTAATCATTGCTATGTAAAGACAACTGCTTCAGTATTGTGAGGAGTATTTCTTCCCCTAATCATAAGACATTTGAACTAATTTTTACTTTATGTACATTGTATCTATGAAAGTGATAGTAATAGATAGAAATCTTTCTCCTGTCCTCACTTCTCCCCTTCTCGGCAGATGCTGTACAGTTTAGAATTTTTTTTTTATTATTGCACCCATACCATATCTTCTGAAAATTTAGAACCTTCAGAGAATTGAAATTAATTTGACGTTAATATATGTCAGACATGGCAAAAGTAGAATATGTCAGTATATTTTCTTGGGCGAAGTCATTGTAAAAGGTTCTGTCCTTAAGATCTGGACACAGACTTCAATTAAATGTAATGGCACAATAAATAGAGTTCTTAAATAATATTGCACACATTCTCTGAGATGCATATTGGTTTGAGGGAAAAAGAATAAACCTAGACACAGGGAATTCATAGGATGCTACCGCATGAAGATCTAATCATTCTTAAGTGAGGTACCATAAGCTTCCTTCATTGTTTTTGAGGACTGCAAGCATGTATCTTTTTCATATCATGGTCCTTTCATTGCTGATTGTGTGAAAGTGTCCTACATGAACTTTGAGGCAATTAAGTGAAAGGCTAAGCAAGAGGCTGGATGAAAAAGAGTATAGACACAACATATAACAATATGTCTCAAAGATAATATGACAATATTAAAACTGAGAAAATAGAATTAATGTTATCTTCTGATATCATTAATTACAGTTATCCTACTGTTCGCGTAAGTAAAAAGAATAATGTCCCCTGAAGCCTGCTCTTTAAATTGACAGTTCACCAATGGATTTGTCCAAGGATATACAAGATGGTTTGGATCTCTAAGAATAGCATGCAATCTGGCCTATAATAGCTCTATCAACAAAGTAAAGGATAGAAGGTTTATTCTGTGTTTTTCCTTCAAACTTCTTATAAGCTGTCCCGGCAGCCTAGAAGTTGTAGCGTGCAATGTCATTACATGTCCCAGAGTACTTCTCCCAGTTTATATAGTAAATACATAACCTTGCCATTTGTCTACTGTATGATTTCCTTTGAAAATATGTGCTGTCAAGATTATTTGTTTTTATTCAAATTCCTTCTATAGTCATGTTGGGCAGCTTCACTGGTTTTTATGCAGGACTGGGAAAGCCTCATTTTTGGCTGTTAGTAGCATGCTTTTAATCACAGCAGCAGAGATTGTGGCCCTCTGGGCTTACTTAGATATTGTAAAAGTGCAATTTTAAATCATGTTAGCTAATTTCTGTAAAATAGAAATTTTAAATACTACTTTAAAACCCGCACACACAAAGATGAAGGCAGTTAAATAGCTTAATCTAGGGGAATTACCATCTTTGTCTACACTTCACTATTTTACAACACATAGAAGCCTGGAATTAAAATTATTTTGCATTGCACCAACTGGAAAAAACAATTTACTGTCTAAATACTAATAACTGTAAGTTATTAGTATTTGGACCAGTCATACATACAGTGTAGAAAATACATTAATTGGTATATTTTTTACTTAAAACTATTTATAAGTATGCATCTATGTCTTTAGTTACTTTTCACAATACATAAATACAGATGTTCCAAACTCCATTTATGTAGGGAATTGTCATACAGATAGTTTATTTCAAAGTTAATTCCAAAAGTAATACTTTTATTGATGTACATTCTACTTCTTAGAGTGCTCAGTTTCCACTAGGCTGGGTGCCTGAACTGGAAGATTTCTTTTTTATTTATTTATTTTTTAAGCATATGCTAGGTGCCTTTTAATCTGTCTAAATGCTAAGGAAAATTACCAGAACAAAAGCAAGACCTTAAATGAAATTGCTAATGCTGTTTTCTGATGTTTCCTTTCTAGTTTTCGATTCACAAGATGATAGTGCAGTAATTGGAAAGCTCAAAGTAACAGTGGAAGCCCTCCATGCGCTGCGTTCAGTCTATGAGGAATGCAGAGATGACTAGGAGGCATGAAAGGGAAGTTTGCCTACAGAAGTTTCTTCTCCCACTGTAAATACAAGCTTGATAGTGCTTCAAAGATGAGATCTTTGTAATTTTTACAGTATATTTAATGTATAATTTATATGAAAAGGACGCGTGATTTGCAGTTGTAAAGTTTTGTATACTTTTTAGTCTGTTTGTTTTTATATTTCCCCCCTAAGGCTAAGAATCTCTCCACAATGGACAACGTCTTGTAAATAATTAATACCTACATGATTGAATGATCTGCTTTATTTGCATTTTCAAGATTTTTTCCTACATAAAACAGTAATAAAAATGCAAGTCAAATTTTTAATTTTTAATAAAAAAACCGTAAGCCTTAGAAAACTGATTAAAAATACTTTTATGTTATCCCTAATCACCCCACTAAATGGAATGCCTGTGATTAGCCTCATTAAGAATTTTATACTGTGAAGATTTTATTAAAAGCAATATATGAAAATTACTTGGATTAATGTGTTAATCTGCCTCTTTAAAATGCTAATATCCATTTTATGCACATTAAATCTCAGTATGTGTTTTCTTTGATGCGTGCAGTTCTTATCAATTAAATATAAAAAATTAGGCTAGTTGCAGGACTTATTAAATTACTGCACCCTTTTTCAAATAACTTTCACCCTTCTACTAACATTATGATCAGCTGTTTATGATTATCATGATTTGAACTAGGGGAAGGGCAGGCACAATCATTTTTCTGTACAGTAAAAGATTTACTTTCAGCCAACATCTGTCAAAGCACCAGAAGAAGCCATGCGGTATCAGATTTTGCTTCGTTTAATTTGAGCTGTAGGGCCAGGCAACTGGGTTTTCCTCGTTTTTTTGTCATTTTTAGAACTTACATCAAACATACACAATGAATTGTTGTATCAGAATAACCAGTGTCTAGCTTGGAAAGTTAATTTTCCAGCTTTTAACCAATCTTAGTGAAGGATTTAATTGATATTTTTAATGGAGCTGTGAATCAATGCTGCAAAAGGATTGCCTCTTGAGAATGAGGATATAATGCATTTCATTTTTTAATTTACTTTTTTATTTGTCATTTTCTTCAAAGGATTTTATAGGCTGTGGATTTCCACTGTTTGCAAACAGGCTATGTTTCTTCATAAGCATATGTAAAGTATTCAGAGAGATAAGTAATTTATTAAAATATACCTAATTTGCCGTGATATATTAAATCTCTGCTTCAGTGATCACAGACCATTTCATTTAGAGAATTAGGCTTTCCCTCTTTGTGTGATTAAAGCTCTGGAAAATGAGTTCTTTGCTCCTATTTGTGAACATTCAAAGCCTGCTAATGGCAAGAAGATGGAATAGATTATGAGACAATTCATTACAGTTCAACAGGAAAAAAAAAAAAAAAACAGCTATAATGCAGAAATGCAAGTATGAATATCTGCATATAGTTTGAACCATCTGTGCTCTAATGGCTTCAATAATGGCTCTTCGTCTTCAGTAGGCTTTGAAATGACATCTATACAATATTAATTTGTTGATGTACATTATGAAGCCAATGGAATGAATATATTCTGACCACAGAAATCTCTGAATTCCAACATGAACTGATTGTTGACTCCATTTTAGGACCTACCATCTTCAGTAGTACTTCTCATCCAGACTTTGCCAATCCTCTCAGCATTTCATTCCTCTGGAACTTTTAGGAGACCACAGACAGCTGCATTCCTAAACCCCTCCATTCTTCAGTTAATGGCCATATGTTTGTTGTCGTTTGGGCTGGCGCTTAGTTCATCGTTTTGGCCACTACTTCTAGCATTTTTTGGCTCTGTGCGTCTATATTGTCAATAAGACTGTTATTATACATTACAATAATTTGAAACAGCTAGATTGAACACTGAGATTAACTGAGTGGCTTTTTAGAAATTTAGTTGTGGTATTCTGTCAGGAGGTTCTTATTATTCTTCTAATACTTCGCAAACCAAACTAAATATCCTGCACATAAACAAAGAAGCAATTTGCGTTGAGTTTTCGGGTGGGACTGTTTACTGACTTGCAGGAGAACTATGTAACTGGTGCTTGTTTTCTTCTGAAATAAACCATGTGGTAAAATTAGAAAATCAGTGATGTTCATCTCACTTAAACATTTACAGTAACACCCTTAGCACTTAATCTTCACCATCTGAAGCTGAAAACTTAGAATCCAAGCGTTCATGTATTCATTAAACGCAGACCTCTTCGGTAAGTTACTGCAATATATTCCAGTTGACATTCAGTGACATTGTGTTAACTGTTCTCAGTGACTCCAACATTAACATGTATAATTTGCCTCAGGTTCCTAAACATATTTCTTTGTAAGGCTCACTATTACTCAGTTTTGGATTTAAAAAAAAATAATCTTTATTTCTATTCATGTTTATTACTAAGAGAGATATAATATTCAGTGAGGATTTTTCCAACAGATGGATTGTATTATCTTATGCAACATAAACATATGAACATACTAGAAAGTTTTGTTCTTCCATTAACTGGTCTGCATTTCCAACATGCTCTTAAATTTTAAGCCTAAATACTGCACTGTGCAGGGAAAGTGGAAAATGTAATCTAGTACTATTTTGTCCAGATTTTGGCCACGAATAGCTTGAAGAAAACTTACATCCGTTTGCTCTCCAGCCTAAAGCAAAAAGTATCCTTTTTTGGTGTGTAATATGTTAGTAAGCACATTTTTAAAAAGAAGCCTTATGAATACCATTCTTTAAAATGTTACTCAATTAAAATTAATTTTTGTGGAGTAGATAAACTTTTTTATGGTGTAACTTGGATGCAACAGCGGTCCTGCATAAGATGAGTTGGACAGGGTCAGATGATCAGTTTTGTTATTTTATATATTTTCCCATTAATTGTTAGAGCTTATAGCTTTGCTGTGATTTCTTATGTGATACAATAGCTGCTCTTCTCCAGGTGTCCTGGATATGCTTATCAAGATGGAAACCTAAGTTTACCTCTAAAAGCCTTTCTTTTTTCAGATGTTGCTTTTAACCTGTTATAACCTTAACCTAGGGATGGAAGGTATAAGAGTAAATACATCATGAACCAAGGTGACTTCTGTGTGAACTGGATCAATTTTGCTGTACAGTAATTCGCATCTTATCTCATCATATGCTTATAAAAGTAGATATAACATGACAAAAAAATATAATAACTTGCCTCACAGAACTTCTACAACTGAAGATCAGATTTAAGTTAATAGTAATATTGTTTTACAATGCTTTTCATTATTTCAAGGCATAATAAGACATCATCATAACTCAAGAAGTCACCAAAGATATCACGACTAAATTTTGACTGTTAAATTTCACTTTCCTGTTTTGTGTTCTAAGTGAGAAATAAATTCAAATACAGACTTAAAATCATGCAACAAACTTTATTGCATGTTTCAGAGCCAGAGAGGTATTTCATGTTGCAGTTAGATAGCCAGGTCTTTTTGCAGGTGAGGATAATTATTTATCCACCAGTTTTTTGAGATATTTCACAAGAGAGTAAATTTTTTTTTTTTTAGAAGACTTCCTTAACGTTGCTGTTTGTGATCTAGGTCTTAGTAATTGGACTAGATCCCAATTCTGCAACTAATACTGAATTGAATGCAGTATGTTGCCTGTATGAAATTCATTGTGGAATATAAGTTCAAGTTGATACCTTTGTATGTATGTGATAAAAATTTGGTTTCGACACAGTTTGCTACAGGTGTACTGCTTTGTGCTTTTCATTAGTTCCTTTTTGCTATTGCTGACAAATTTTAGTTCTCTTTGCATCTTTTAAAATGGGATGAGGTAACTTTTGAAGAATTTCATTTCGTCAGAATAATTTGTCAAGGGAAGAATTTGACCTAAGTTTCATTTCTTACTGTAGTATAATCCTAGTACTCACAGGACATGACATTGAAAGTCACATACAACATAGATGCTTTGGTCTTAATTTGTAAGCACTGAACTCCTCCTATATTGTACATCTGTGGGCTTTAGAGGTATGTAAAAGCTTTTCTTGTTTCTAAGGTCCTTGCTGAATCATACTTCAAGCTCTCCATACTTCATGGGCTCAAGGTCTAATTCAGTTCTAGCAAAGTTTCATTTTGAATGAAAGCTCCTTGAAAAGTATCTGATACCAGTTGAGGATGTTTTGTCTAAGAAAATAAGCATTTACGAACTTTCAAACAGAAATGCTTAAAGGTTCTTAATAGTAGTAGTTCTGCCACAATACTGTATCAGGATGGGTCATTCAGGTTAGAAGGAACTTCAGGTGCCCTCCAGTCCAACCTGCTGCAGGATTAGCTCTCATGTTAGACCACGTTGCTCAGGGCTTTATCCAATCTGGTGTTGAAAACCTCTAAGGATGGAGACTGTGTAACTTCTTTGAGCAACCTGTTCCAATGCCTGACTGTCCTCATGGTGAAAAAAAGGAGACATATTTCTAAACATTGCTGCAATCCAAACTGAAGCCAAATCTAGATCTAAGCATGTGAAAACAGCTTTTGCACTTAATATACCATCTAATCACCTTTTTTTTTTTCTTAGTTCTACAAATGGCATAAGCATAACATTGTTTGTCATTTGTTTCAGCCGTTTAACATTTTGCACGGAAATACAAATAACTAGGTATTTTAGTATTGACTTTCATGCCTACAGCCTCGCAGTACGTCATCAAATTTCCATCCAGTTTTGTGAAGCAATTGACAAAAAATAGCTGTTATTGTTAATAACGTGGTTTGCTCAGATAATTTTTGTGTAGATTTCAGTAGTAACCGATTTACTGTGGCTTATTCCTGGTTTTGTTATATTAGACTTCGGTTATTTTAAGAAAACAAACAGATAAATCAAGCAAGACCAGACTCACATTGAAATTATACTCTTCATGACCTTAACTCATGAATTCTTAACATATTTTAGATTGACAAAGAAATTATGTTCCCTGAGCTGTGAGAAAGAGGGATATAAACCTGGAATCTCTGTCCACACCCATCCTCTGTATCAAAATACATCTATCTGCAGTAGTCCAACATCAATAGCTGCAACAGTGCAAGACAGGTCTTGAACATGATCTAGCAATGATTTCTTTAACATTTTTGTGGATTTGAAAAATAATCTATTTTCTGTTTAGGCAAACTCATTCTTGTCAAATG